TGCTGGAAAAGAAATTTTTTTAAAAAACAGCAGTTTGTCTGCTTCCTATATCTATAATTTGTATTTCTTGATACTTTCTAGCTTTTAATTTCAGTTTTCCTATACTTAGTTTGTTAACTCTAATTAATTTTAATCTTAGGTTCAAATTAGAAGGAAGAGAACTCTAGTTCATAAGAATTTCATTAGCACAATCAGTGGACAGTTATGATGACGTGACATTTGACATGGAGGAAGGAAAAGTGGGAGCGAATGCCGCACAACCTGATTAAGGCCAACATGCGATACCCACATCACACTAGCCATTCAGTGCAGTCAAAGGTACAATAACACGCATGTGCAAACGTACTCCTAATGCTTTGCATCTTGGACATCATGAGTTGTGCCGATAGTGTGATAAAAAAGTGCCTCATGTAGTGTTTGCTTTCCAAGGCTGTCTACATGATGTAATGGTCTGTGCTATTTTATTTCTTCCTCTGTGACATTTATGAATAGCTCTTCTGTAAAGCACAAATGATTTTTTTCATCCACGCTTGTCATAACCATGCAATATTTCTTGTTCATTGAGGCTCATCGCTCATCACAATGCACTATATTCTAGAAATGTGCAGTTCAATGGCTCTTTTGCCCAGCTAGGAAACTTGCTGCGTTTTTAGTGGCTAATTTTGGGTCTATTGAATGTCAAGGGTTATATGTAGATGTAGTATTGAAAATGTGGCTAATCTGTAACCTAGTCTCTTCTTTATTGATACTGTACTTGAGTAGCCAACAGTGCTAATTTTTTTATGTTGTACTGCAGCTTGAACAGTATTGCACATTTGAATTAATGCATGTTGTTGTGATGAGTGAGTGAAACAACTTTATTCGGTCCACAATAGACGCGAGTAAACTCAGCGTCACCTGGCTAGGCCCACTCGGGGACCATCAGGTTAAACCTGATGGCCCTCGCGCGGGCCCTCTGGACGACCAGGATTTGAGAGGTCTGGTCCTGGGCCTTAATGAGTCGCTTCATTTCCTCTTGGGTGAAAAGGGGGACCGGCAGAGGCGCAGCCCCACAGTACATGCTCGAAGTCCGCAAAACCACCACACAGGGGGCAGTCCGGGCTTGGAAACCGTTCAGGGTACATTGTGTGCAGTGCCGCAGGGCTCGGGTAAGTGTTTGTTTGTAGCAGTCGGAGAGTAACAGCTTGGGCCCTGCATAGCGAGGAGTGTGGTAGAGGCAGCAGTCTTCTTGACAGATAGTGGTGCTTGCATATCTCGTTGTACGAGCAGAGAGGCTCAGGTCACCCAGGAGAGGACGCGTTACCCGGCACACGGTCAGTCAAACCTCGTGCAGCCGAGTGCGCCTCCTCGTTGGGATTGAGCGAGGCACCCTCAATGGTTCCAAGGTGCGCAGGAAACCAGACCAATGAGTGACTTTTGAGGTCTTTGACTTTTTGAATAATCTGTAGGACCTGGGGAGCCACCATGCCCATCTGGAAGGCCTTGATAGCGGCCTTGGAGTCTGAATAAATTGTGTCATGTACACCATCCGTCAATGCAAGAGCAATGGCAACCTGCTCTGCAACGCTGGAACTAGAAGTGCGGATGGTAGCGCAGCTCATGACTCTGCAATCACAGTCGACGACCACTGAGAAGAAGGCTTCTTCTTGAATGTACGAAGCAGCATCGACGAAGCAGGCTCGATCCTTGTCCAAGCGGGCACTGGCGAGCAGAGATTTACCCCTGGCTCGTCTTCGTGCTTCGTTGTAGGTTGGATGCATATTGCGCGGCATCCGCGCAATCTGGATCTTGGATCTTACGTCGTTGGGCAGCTTCACAGCGTCAGGACCGACAACCGTGGGGTTTCGTCCCAGCATGCCGAGTATGGCTCTACCCGCTGGGGTGCCAGACAGTCTGACAAACTGTGCAAACTCTTGGGCTTTGACAATTTCTTCGAACGTGTTGTGGATTCCCAACTTCAGGAGGTCTTCCGTGTGCGTTCGAACGGGAATGCCAAGGGCCAGCTTGAAGACTCTTCTGATTAGGGCATTGATTTTGTTGCGCTCCGACACGAGCCAGTTGTGCATAGCCGCCGAATAAGCGAGGTGGCATAGCACGAATGCGTGGATAATCCGGATCAGATTGTCCTCCCTGATTCCGCGGTGCCTGTTAGCGATTCTTCGAATCAGTCCGAGGGCGCTTTCGGTCTTGGAACAAATGCGTTTGACGGCGGCTCCATTGGCTCCGTTAGACTCGATAAACATTCCAAGGACCCTGATAGTGTCCACCCGCGGAACTGGGGAGCCATTACCGGTGAATAACGTAATGTGGCTCTTCATTGCTGGCTTCCAGGACCGGTGAGAACCGCCTCTGGGCCTCTTCTTATACAGTAAGAGCTCGGACTTAGCGGGCGAGCACCTTAGCCCGGTGGGGATGAGATAGCGCTCCGTCACATCGATGGCCTCTTGCAAAGCACTCTCGACCTGACCCTCACATCCGCTGAGGCACCAGATGGTGATGTCGTCTGCGTAGATCGTGTGGTTAATGTTCGGGATTTTGTTCAAGGCCCTCGACAGGTTGATCATGCAGATATTGAACAGCGTCGGGGAGATCACCGCCCCCTGAGGTGTCCCTTTTGGCCCAAGGGTAATTTCGTGGGTCAAAAAATCGTCAATCTTCAGTCTTGTGGACCGCGACGAAAGGAAGGAGCGCACAAAATTGTACGCCCGCTTGCCGACGTGAAACTCAGACAAGCTCTTGAGAATAAAGGCGTGTGATATGTTGTCAAAAGCCTTTTCCAAATCCAATCCAAGAATCGCCTTGGTGTCGGCGGAGCCGGAGTCAATGACCTGGTGCTTGATCAGCTTCATGGCGTCCTGAGTCGAGAGCCCCGACCGAAAGCCAATCATGTTGTGGGTATAGCATTCGTTAGACTCGAGGTGGTCAGTGAGGCGGTTGAGCATGGCGTGCTCGGCCACCTTCCCGACGCATGACGTCAACGAGATTGGCCTAAGATTCTCGATGCTCGGTGCCTTACCCGGCTTGGGTATCAGTACTGTGCAGGCCGCTTTCCAGCTCTTGGGAATGAGACCGCTGCGCCAGATTTCGTTGATCTTGTCTGTAAGAAACTCGATCGAGTCGTCGTCGAGGTGCTTGAGCATTTTGTTGGTTACCCCATCTGGCCCAGGGGCGGATCTGCTATTGAGGGATGCGAGAACCCGCTTGACCTCAGCCACGGTGAAGTCCTCGTCCATCGATGGCGCGTCGCGCCCCTCGTAGTCGGGAAACTGGGGAGGTACCGGATCGTCCGTGGCTGCCAGGTACTTGTCTATGAGCTTCTCCGTGATCGCCTCATCTGGAGTTGAGTCGGTGGCCAAATGGACAGCTTTCGCCAAAGCTCTCTTCTGATTGGACTTGGTGTTGCCGTCGTGCAGTAGGTGTTTGAGGAGTCTCCAGCTTTTACCGGTCTTGAGTTGGCCCTCCATAGAATCACAGAGCTCATCCCATTGCTGCTTGCATAAGACCTTGCAATGATCTCCTACCGTTTTGTTGATTTCGGACATTTTCTTGCGCAGTCTTCTGTTATGGTGCTGAGTCTTCCATGATGAAATTTTTTCAGCTGTGTGCAGTGCAATGGCCTCTTTGCACAGCTGAGAAATTAGCCGAGTCATGTGAGTGGCTAATTACTGACTCGTAGTGAATGTCAACATTTATGTAGCACATTGCACGGCTGCAAATTATGGCTGTGATTTTAAACTTGTCAGTCGCAGCTGCCTTTTGTGGGCAGATGCATTGCTGCAGTTCTGTCAGCGACTCATCTGGTGGTTCACTACAAATCTGTAATGTTTGTTTCGATTTGTATAGTTTAACTCTTATGCTGGAAACTAGCTTCAATTGCTTGATTCAAGCTTTTGGTCACTGTTATTTTCACTTATTTCACATATTATGAGGGACTTTGAGTGTTCATGCTATAGTCCATACGCACAGCCCTTGCACCTTTGTAGTCAGGAGCTTCATCGAAATTAACTAGCTCTTTAGCAACTTCGCTGTTGTCAAGCCCTTTCTGCTCAGTATTCTGGCTATGAGGATTTCGTGTCCCTCTCCTCTTGTTATGCGAATTTATAGTATTCGCTGTGTATCACTGAACCAAGTGCAATCATGTGTAGCAAGCTGCTGTTTATCAAGGCTTGTACATTTGTAGACATCAGTCATTGAGCTTTTTGACCAAATGTGTAACTATTTAAAGTTGTCATCAATTAGACACACCAAATCGGATACCAGGAACTCTACCCATCCCTCCTCTCCCAAATACACACCTTACCAGCCCGAACTAAAGGCTGCAGTTTATTGTAGAAGCATAGTATACTGCTAGAATGAACCCTGCATAGGTAAAATTTCAAATATTTATAGCAGTAATGACGTTGATTTCCGGGCCTCCCTTACTGCTAGTTTAATTCAACTTCCCTCTGCTCCCCCATTTGTCTTCCCTGGGAAAGCGGAAAACCCATACATCCTCTGTGATTGATATAATTGGTAAATTGCAGATTAGTGGAAGTATCAGTACTTGTATGTTATCGAATTAAATCAGCAAACAATGAGGCTAAGGAAGGTACAGGGGATATTACTTGTATCCTTTAACTGTAGTATAGCAATTATGGCATAAATGGAACTGTCTAGATAATGCCCTACAATCTGCTAGAGAATTGGACACATTACCTGAAGATTGTAGGTTTGGGTCACTATCTAAGGAAAGTTTATCCAATCCAATCCAATCCAAGGAAAGTTAATGCTTCATTCATTTCAATTCCTTTCCATTTATATTATAATTACTATGCTACAGTTAAGACATGCAAGTAATGTCCCCCATACAATTCTCAGCTTCATTGTTTCTTGGTTTTGTTAGGTCGTGTCTCACAAAAGGAAAGAGTTCTCTAGCGATCTCTCCTCTTTAATTCAAACTTGTGGGTCGAGGCATAACGGGAATAAAACATGAGAAGTGTCTCTTTTTGACATCATTAAAGGTTGACCTGAATGTGATAGACAAGGACAAGGAAGTGACGGTCGGCGAGCCCGTAAAGCCTGCCAGCCGTACGCGTTCCAAAAGTCGCAGCCCGCCACGCCTAACTCGGGAACCCGAGGCCGAGCCCGCTTCAGCCCTGCCCGTGGCCAGTCCCAAGCTGGCGGATGGCAAGGGCCATGCACAGGGACACCGCAAGTCCTGGGTCCGCAGCAACTCAAAGGGCGCCCTCCATTCACCCAGTGAGTTCCATTCACCAACTTGGACAAAAGTGTGTACTGCTGTTAAATCGACACTGCAGTTGTCTGTTAGTTTAAAGACACGACAGGTCACTTAACTCGAAATCATGGTCATACACATGTGCACAAGGGGGGAGGGGGGGCAGGGACAACCCCCTTCCCCAGTGTGTTAAGGAGTGTGCGAAGTCTGCCCCATACGCTTACTTTGTCTGACCTGTCCTGTCATTGTTTAAAGAGCAGGATTATTGCCACACAAGCTTATCACGATAATTGCTGCTTATGGCCCTAATATTGCATTGCGAAACCTGTTTACTTGCCATCTTTACTCTCAGACAGTCGGGTTCCAAACAACAGGCTATTGTGAGAAGCATGTTATATCGTTCATTTGCATTTTTTTTTACCATAAAAGTGCTCTACGCTGGGGCCCACCATGACTCCACTGATGCATTTCTATTGCAAATGTGACGTTGTAAAATATAAACAAGCAGATTGCAAAGAAACTACTGCAAGAGAAAAGTTGCGCCGTTAGGCACTGAACCTACGGCACCTTGCTTCGCAGCGTGACGCATAAAAACACTCAGCCACAGAGACGCATGTTATTCAGCTTCCTAATGGCAAGCTATATATATATATATATATATATATATATATATATATATATATATATATATATATATATATATATATATATATATATATATATATATATATATATATATATATATATATATACAGCATATAATGTTGGAAGTTTTCAGAGCTCTCCAACTTCAGTGCGTTTTCATCATCAGCGAGATGACGTGACTGGCGCGAAGAAGGAGCACAATGGCACCCGCGCCTCTTCTGAACGTGTTCGCTCATGTAGGCATGGCACACACTTAACAGTTTGTACGTCTTGTGCTGCTTGCTCCCAAGTTTACGATGAAGTTACAGAGAGAACGAAGCTCACTTAGCTTGCTGCAGCGCCCGCATTTGCAGTAGAAGCGTGCTGCTCACACACAAATAAGTAACAACTGGGGCAGTTATTACATGCTCGTCCTGTGTATACCTGTGTATTCATTTCGCGCATATTTCATTGTGTTGGAGCAGCGCGCTTTAAGCGTGAAGCTGCGACAGTTCTTAGTCTGCGCTCAACCTGTGTATGCTTATTTTATGTACTCTTTCTGCTGGAGATGTGTGCTGCAAGTTACAAGCTGCTTTCGAAAACTTAATTTTTAATGGATCACAGCGTCTGGATGTGTTGGATGTCGCAAAGAAGCTATGGGTTATCTCAATCCAGTCTAACCTCTGACAACAGCGATCTGATGTGTACCGCACCAAAGCTTGTAGTATGACTCTCTGCTCCTATCTTAGCCTGTACGAAAAGTAATACAGGGAATAGCTCTATCTTAGCCTGTACGAAAAGTAATACAGGGAATAGCTCCTTGAAAAACCTTTTAACTGTGGAGCTATTCCAAGTCAAACCTGTACTGTCTGCGTGTCTGTATGGTATCACATGGGGCCAGGCTCGTCTCCTCTCCACCAGGGGCATTGCTGATGATGATATTCAAAATGATAGTGATGGTGGGTAAAATAATAAAGATGATGCACGTGATAGTGCACCTCAGTGGCTTAGTGATTGATTGATTGATATGTGGGGTTTAACGTCCCAAAACCACCATATGATTATGAGATACGCCGTAGTGGAGGGCTCCAAAAATGTTGACCACCTGGGGTTCTTTAACATGCACCCGAATCTGAGCACACAGGCCTACAACATTTGGGCCTCCATCGGAAATGCAGCCGCTGCAGCCGGGATTCGATCCCGCGGCCTGCAGGTCAGCAGCCGAGTACCTTAGCCACTACACCACCGCGGCGGCGCTCGGTGGCTTAGTGGTTAACGCCTCGCTTTCAATGATGGGCATGATTTCGCTATCAAATCACACTGACTCGTGTGCTTACAGCGTTGCTGTTTGACTGTTTTCAATATGTGAAACTGGCTGAATTCAAAATCTTTCTTTTGCCTTCAACAAAACATATTTCCTTCTGTTGGAAATAACAAAACTTCTGTGCAGGTGGAAGCTCCACGCAAAGCTTTGACCTGCAGCTTGCCAACTGGAGGATGGAGAGTATTGTTCGGGAATCGGACAGCAGCTCCAATGATGAGTTCTTCGATGCCGAAGGCACGTGTGTCTAATGCTCAATTGCCTCTGGAATGTTTGAGGTGATTTTAGGGTGGTTGCGATACTCTAACGTTTTCCTCGCAACCCTCATCTTTGCAGACATCTGTGGTGCTGAGGACTATGGCTTTAGTCCAATGACAAAGTGGAGCTCCCTAGAAATGGTCTCTTCAGAAAACGAGAAAGGTGGAATTTTCGGTAGTGCATCGACACCTGATGGTGAGTGTAGCAAGAACTTGTAGGCTTGGGCGAGTCAGTGCATGATGCGAATAACTTGAAGCATTGTGAAAAATTCAAGACATAAAAGAAACACGTGCAACAAAACTAGTGCTGTGTGGCTTCGAAGTGAGGGCACTTTTAAAGACGATGGTCTTTCTTGGGGACCTTCAACGCAAAAATTTTGGTCTGTCTGTCTGTCTGTACATTTGTCTGTGTGTCCATTCTTAACGGCACCGGGTACTTGAAATGGTCGACCCCATCCGCAGCGCCCACAAATGTTGCTCAAGATTCAGCGTTCATACTTGTGCAGTTGTCAAGTAAAAAGCAATTATTGCGCATGTCTGGGGCACCATAACAACACGTATATATTCTGCATGTGCGTCTTTTACTAGAAAAGGCATACATAAGTAATTTTAAGGACCTAGCACTTATCACACTGCGCTGACCGTGCAACACTTGCAGGAAAAGGAAAGTGTTTCCAACGCTTTGCTAAGACGAGACAGTGGTGGCACTTACCCGTCGCCTCGCGTTCTACACCTTATCACCTCTGAGACGAGTGCGCACACCCGTCACAGAGCCACGCGCTTCATTTTACTAGAAAACTGCCAGATGGTGCTCATGTCTCACATGTGACGTGACTTGATGCACTTTTTCGCCTCTGCTGCACGCTCGAGGCATTAACGCAGCACCTCCAGAATACCACTCACCGATTTTCTTGCGCAGAACATCAAATAAATGTTTTGTTCAGTCTCTCCACACGCAAGACTATAGTCTTTCGACGACATTTGCAGATTAACATGCAGATACGGGCCAATTTTTTTCATGACTCTTCACATTAAGAAAAAAAGTGTGTTGAGGTTTCACGGGTGCTTTTACACATGGGTATCTTTCTTATTACTTTGCTAAATTAATTTTTTTATTCACAGTTGCACATCTGGTTAAAGGAGCATTATAGTGAGGTGTTATTTACATGCATTTTTTTCCACCCTCCTTCCCCCTTCCCCTGTTTTTTTTTTCTAAGAATACAGTGTACACAGTGATTAACAAAGCAAACAGGCTTGCAACAAAAATGTATAAAGCAATGAAACACAGAAAAGTATGGCCAAGAAAACATCTGTATTTTTTCAAAAGTAATGCTACACTTAAACCTCATTATAACAAAGTTGCATCTCACACCAAAATAAGTTTGTTAAGTCCAAAATTTTGTTATAAAGGTTTATTTATAACACTGTATCTTTTGCAAGACTATTCTTAATTTGCTTTGTTATAAGCGATATTTTGTTATATTGATTTTTGTTACATCGAGTTTTGAGTGTATACAGCTTTGTATGAACAAACTAGGCCTTTAATGAACATGTGATTGTGCATGCACGCATTAGCGTTTCTGAGCAACTATTCGTAAATTTTTAGGACGCACCAGCATGAGTGAAGTAAACAGCAGACGTTAAGCTTAAGTTGCCCATTTTTAACAGTGAAGCTGTTTTCATTCGACCCTTTGCCATCCATTGGCGTAACGAGGCCATCTCAGTCGTGGTGGAACGCTACTGTGGTGTTCCAGCATGGCTGTAAATGAGCATATTGTCACCTCATAGCTTAACATAAAGTGTCAAATAAATATAAATGACACAAGACACTGACAAAATACCTAAAAAGAGAAAGAAAAAAAAGGGATGAAAAGGCAATAACCTGGTGAAGTGAAGCACCAGCTTCACTGTTTCGACGACTTTTACGTTGTGAACTGGCTGCTTTTTTTTTTTTCTGCAACAAACAGAGGACAGCATATTCAGTGCCTCCCACATCCGGCGAACGCATGCTGTGAGCTTTGGCCGATCGGCATCCACCACAGGTGCCTCGACCTACCTGTCGGACTCTCCAACTGCATCACCAGGTCACCAGGGGGGAGGAACGTCTGCGACACCCTGCCCGACCTCTGTCCTCGTGCTGGTCCTCCACGCTGGCAATGTGCTGGACTCTGGTGCCGAGGGCCCCACCCCAAAGACCGCTGACCTGGCCACATTCCGGGCCGCCATGGATTCGGCCATTCGGCAGCACTACCCGACCATGCTGGGCCGTGTCGCCTTGCGCCTCGTGAGCTGTCCGGCCCCTTGTGCTGAGGCTTTGGCAGTTCTTTCCAAGTGAGTGTGTATCTAAAGGCTCACTCACATCTGCGACTGGTCGTATCACCTAGTGAGTCCCAAAGCAACTGGCTGCAAACGGTTGCAAAGTGACTGCTTTAACACAGTCGCTCTCTGCTAAATTGTTCAACGGCAGTCACTAAGGTCTGAATCAGTCAAATGCACAGGAACATAGCATGAGCTTATCCTACAGGGTAATGGCAATGTGATATGCATGCATGCAGCGATATGCATGCAGAATGGAATTCTTTGTGACAACGGGTTTAAGTCACACGCAGGTGTAAACATCGTTCACATTGAGTTGCTTTTTGGTCGCCAGCCGCAAATGGTCATGCGGCTGTGCTAGTCCATACTAGTGGCATCTTCTAGTGCCACCAGTGCTCGTGCCATCTTCTAAAGTCTGCACTTATGAGCTGTCATCAAAATCAATCTGAATTGAACTTATCCGATACAGGGTTGCAAGGACAGCCAGGCAGTAAGAACTGCAGCTGGCAGCTTTGTAGCAGGTAAATTGAAGAAAAAAAAACTAAGCGCATTTCAATATACATATATTGTTACAGGGATTACAAACACACGGAAGAAAGAAATGAGTGTATTACCAATATTTACAAGTAGGTGAGAACAACCAGGGCTACCAGCCTTTCGAGAGCTCAGTCCACTTCTTCCTCTTCGATTCGTCTATGACGGTGGGGCCATGCCCACTGCCTCGTAACAATGTGTACTAGTTTGTATAAGCAGTTATGGTTGAAACAATAAACAATATTACAAGCATTAGAAAGAAGATTTATGAAACAAAGGGAACTTCTTACACGAATATTTAAAATCATAAAAGTACTATATGGCATGGATCCTTTGAAGGCAGAACTGATACCTTTGGGTTGTACTCTCTGTGCATCTCATTTGATAGAAGAAGATGGTATAGGGCACATCTTGCTAAACACCGTGAAAGTCTTTATTAGACAGAACAATGCATGAATATGTGGGCTTGAAGTATAAAAAAGTAGAAGTAACTTTTCATTGTAACATACTAAAACATTGGATCTCTTACGTGGCTGCACATGATTGGGCTTGCATGAGTTTTGGCCATAAGATCTGCTCATTGTGCATGGTTCTTAAGCACACTGAATGAGTCTGTGTTTTTTTTATTTCTATGTCTATGGTATTGGCAGTGCACTGCTTCCCGTAACGTTTGCAAACACATCCATTACACCTGTACCTTCTCTCTCCTCTTTCACAGTCTTAGTCCCTACAGCTTTCAAGCATCACCGTCGGCAGTCGACGGCGGTGCTTTCCGCCATCAGGACTCGATACCTCTCGGTGCCCTACCGCTCTTCGCAGTCTCCTCTCCCGATTACCCAGACCTTGTTTCGCGGACAGTTTGTGCGGCCAACCAAGCCTACCATGACTTCCTCAAGTCTGAGCAAGGGCAGGGATTCGCAGGACAGGTGTGTCTCTTTCGCTCATAATGATTACGTGAAATTTTAGTTCTTTGTGTTGTGCCCTTAACTTAATGTTAATAGTATTGTAAACAATTGTTGTAGCCGTCCAACTCAACTGCTATGCTTTCTTGCTTTAACAATAAAAGCCTTTACAGTCGGGAGTTGTGGTAAAAGACTCTGGAGCAAGCATATACAGTAGACTCTCATTAAATGGAACCTTAAAGAACCAGCTAAATATGTTCTTAGGAGTTCTGTTTACTGAGTGATGAATGTTCAGGGACGTAACCGATCATATCGGAGGCAGTTGTTCCATTTCAGCAGCAGTTCCGTTTAACAGATTTTCTTAAATTAGAGTCTAGCCACCATGGTAGCTCATGGGTAGAGCATCGAACGCGATAATAGAATAACTGAGAGTCTACTGTATGCCTTAATGTACCCACTGAAGACCAAAGTGAGGCAGGCAAGCATGGACACAAAGGAAGAGGCTTGTAGACAATTTTGGCTATGTTCTCTTCTCATGGTTTAGCTCTCTTCTCGTATCGGTGTTTGCATGTCTTACCTTTTGCCACGATAAATTCGTGCCACCTTTCTCAACTTCCGTTTACTCTAAATATCAGTTTTGACATCTTAATGCATCTCACACCTTGGTTCTTAGGTACTCAGAGCCTCTCTCATAGGAACCAACTGTTTAAATGCATGAAAACCACAGCATTAGTGTTTATTTTTCTTTCTTCATGCGCTGTTTTTTTGTCAATAGTTCAGAGTTGTCATACACATTTTTCGTTTTTCTTTTAAGGAGCTTGCTCGGCAAGCTTCTTATGCTCGCGCCTTGTCCGGCAGCAGCTGGCGTGTATGTACACCAGTGTTGTCAGTGTACACTTCTATGGTCGCCTGCTCCGGTTGCCTCTCCTGGTCGCCTCTCCGGTGATTCTCACAATGCTCACTAGATGGCGCGCTGCCACCCGAAGGCGTCGGTTTTCGATGACCCACGGCTCGCCTCCTTGCGACTGAGTCTACTTCGTTCTAGTCGCTTCGTAGGCACGGCATCACGTGTCAAGTTCCTACAATGAGTGTTACGAGGGGTACCGATATCCTCCCAAGCCTCCTCACCTGCCTGCTCTCAACGCCGTTGAAGGACGCCTGGTAGATCCACATCTGCCATTTATGAGCGGTTGGCATTTGACTCAGGGCAGTGGCCAGTGTGGTATGAAGGGGCAGGTGGTTAATGTGCTGATCAACGTGGCCAATGCTGCTGTGCTGGCTGCGGAATGTGCTCGGCAACACTGCCTTCAATGTACACATCATGCGCCGGCTCTTCAACAAGCCTTCCTTCAGAGATGATCTCGCCAAGAAACGACCTCCGAGCAAGCTCCTCTAACATCATTCACTTTGTGGATATGGCGGTGATTTTTTTTTTCTTTAGCATATTCTGAGTGTCCTGTGTGCTGTACTTACAGAGTTTTTTTTAATACACAATGTTCATTTTTATGCCTTTGTTTCACACCACGCAGCTTGCATTCATGAACTCATTGGAGACATTAGTGTTGAAAGAGACGACCATCTGTACAACTGTGTTAGAAGGCTTCTGCACAGGGCTTTGGTCAAGCTAAGTGGGCGTACAAATCTCTTATCCAACCCATTTTGGATTATGGAAACATTATCTGGGATCCTTACACCAATGTCAATATCCATAAACTAGATAGAATCCAAAACAAGGCTGTCCGATTTATTTTCAAGAAATACGGCCCAACATCAGTCTCTGAATTAGTTGCCAAAGCGGGATTCAAACGGACTTCAGAAAGAAATAGAATTTCTCGTTTGTTGTTCTTCTTTAAGATAGTTAATGGTCGAATAAATAGTAACACAGGTGAATACTTAAAGTTCTCTTCCGGTTACTCTACCAGACAACGTCATAAACACACTGTCGTTCCTTTCCAGCCCAATAATAATACTTTCAAGTATTCCTTTTTTCCGCGCACTGCCAAAGAATGGAATGAGCTTGACAGCAAAATTATTGAAACAGACAGTATCGAGGCATTTGAAAAATTTATATCTGACTAGTGTTTTTTTTTTCTTCGTGAAACATTTTTTATGTTGTTTGAAGTGCTTTGTTCTGTGTTGACTGCAGTATTGTACTGTTGATTTTGTTGTACTATGTACACCCACTCTGCTATGGCCCCATGTTGGGGCTAGCAGTATTGCTAAATAAATAAATAAAATAAAATAAAAGGATGTCACCTGAAGTCAGTATTAGAGATGCAGAAAGAAAGTTCACATTATACTTTGAGTAAGTTCTTCAGAATCCTGGAAGGCTGCAGAAATCTTATGAAAGAGACCACTGAAAGTCACTCATCTCTAGCACAAAGCCACAAATAAACATCTGTATGGATTTTTCAAAAAGGAAAGCTTCTAGTTGAAGAAGAATTCATCCTGGTCTGGGGATTGAGCCTGGGACGGTCGCTGCCCCATTAGAGCTAACCAGGTTTTTCTTCAACTAGGAGCTTCCCTTTCTGAAAAATTCATATGGATTACTTTGTGCCTTTGTGCTGCAAAGAAGTGCTTATCAATTAACGCTTTCATAGAGTTCTTGTTGCAGTGACCCTGACACTATTTTGTGAGGTTTCTGCATATACAGACTTCTACAATGCTACAGTGCAGGGATGGAAATTCGATTTGTTGATGATTTCAATAGCTATATTTTCACATCCAATTCCAACATACCAGATTTTTTTCCAAAACGTAGTATCCAATGTTTGACTGTTTTCCTGGTGTCTTGACTTCGTGCAGGTTGCACTCATTGGCGACAGCGTTGGCTCCATATTGGGATTCGACGCGCTTTGTCGGGCCGCTCAGTTGGGCAGCCGTTACGGCAGCGAGAACAGCATCAATGAGGAAACCCCAGGTGCGGCCTCGCGCCCCAATCCGCTCATCTCCATCAGCGACGGCAGTGGCAACGAAGACGCAGAGGATTCAGGTGGTGCCGCGGCGGTGGCAGCTAGCGGTGGCAGTTCCTCTGTTGCTCAGGGGACCCCTTCACGCAACTACCGCAAGTCTGCGTCTCATCCACCCGATGCCGCTGCGGCAGCCGCTACTGCATCTGAAGTGACGGGCATGGGCGAGGGAGCAGCATCGTAAGCCTTGCTTTTTGTTTCAAAGAGTTGAAGCTTGGTCTACCTGGGGCTGGTATCGAGGTTTAGCTGGTACTTAGGTGGGTCTTGCTTGGTCCAGCTGTGTCTAGCTGTGGTTCCTATATATCGTACATACATTGGCCAAGTGCTTGAAAGTCTACGTTAAACCTTATCCGGTATTTCTTTATGAGCTTAGGCAGCAAAGTGTATAAATATCCTACAAAAAAGAAGAAGAAAGCAGCGCATTATGAAGTTCTATAAGATTGATTTAAAGCCAAGGTGTTGTTACTATCAGTTTGTGACTGTGATGGTGTGTGGCGCTCACCGTGTATCTTGGTGCAGTACAATGTTTCACGTGTAAAGGTCTGAAAATATCTTTTTACTTGGATGCATTTCAGGTTCCACAGGCTCCTAAGTGCTCCTCCTCCTCGTCGCTCCAGTTCATGCTCCAGTGAACAGGGAGGCCACGGGCGGTTTGACTTCGAGGTGTCCGACTTTTTCATGTTCGGCTCCCCCATGGCATTGGTGCTGGCCTATCGCAAAATGCTCTCGTTCGATGACAAGAATGGTAAGCGGCAATCACTGCTTTAGACAACATTGAGAATTTGGGCTTGTTGGTGTATATGTGGGCAACCTGTTCAGGCGGTGAGCCACTTTGCATCAAATCCACACAGCGGGGGCCAGACGGTTAATTAGGAAAGTAGGCGTGTGAAAGGGGAGTCTTTAACGACATAGGATGAAGATTTGGTAAATAGGTACAAAATGAAATATAAATCATGTTTATTTTCTACACGCATGTCACAAGGTTGCAATTTACAAACTTAGGTTACAAGTGAAAACTGACTTGAGGTGATGAATGCCATGCCGGCCTTCAAGTAGGAAGTGACAATGCGAGGGGGAGAGTTCTGACATCGTGCCGAGGGCCGCATAATACTGCATGCGGCCCGTGGAGCCGTACGCTGCTGACTCCTGGTGTAAATTATTAATCAAACAGTGCTTGTTAACAACTAGGACACAAAACAGACACTTCATGCTCAGTTTTGTCATGCGTTTTCATTCTCAAACCTAGGCTTGTGCGAATAGTGAATTTTAGGTTCGAAGCAAATTCGGAGCTAGAAGTGATTTTGGTCGAATAATTTCGAATCGAATTCGCATAGAACGTATCATGTATAAAGAAAAACGGGCATATTTATCATGACCTAACTAACCTGCACAATATTTTTTTCAAGTATAGCCTATATGCAAGAGCTTTCTTTATTTTTTCTATTTAAAGGAAGTCGAAACAACTTTGAGAAGTAGCAGAATTTGACTTTCAGTAGGATGCAAGTGATAACCTGTAAAATACGTAACAATATTCATTGCAGTTAAGAGTGTATAAACCAGCAAAACAAGCTTTTAGGCTTAGAAAAGGATGAATTGATTTGAGTATGATATATTTTTTTAAAGGAATCCTGCAACAGTTTTTAAAGTATCCATGGAATGGATTCACTTAGAAGGCTTGTTTACTTATGAATTAACCGCCACAAAAATTTTTAGAATCTGTTCAGCATGAGCGAAGTCGCAAAGATTTGCCACATGCTGCAATTGCATTCTCTCTTCTCGTCCCGACGAAAGCGCTTGGAGCAAAGCCAGGAGAGATGGCATGCATAGGGGAAAAAAATACGTCACATGCATGTCGTGACCTTGAGCACTCCTTCTTTCTCTTTTTTTATTTGAAGTTGCGCCTTTTCAGTGCGACCGAGCGCCCCATGCTCAAATCGACCAATGGCTGGTTCAATGGCTGAGACTAACGATTTTTGGCATAGTGGCGTCATTTGTCGAAAGAAGAGAGCAATTTTTATCCGACTTTTGGTTTTATTGTGAATTCCAGGTCTCATGCTGTGCTATAATATTTAGCTCGCGTGTTCTCGGTAGCCTCGACTACCGCTTGGCAGCGTTTGCTGACCATGCTCAAAAAGTGTTGCAGGGCCCCTTTAAATTTGAAGTGGAGCTTTGCAGCAGAGCAAATTTTTTTTTGTAAAGGTGCTTTCACGGTTTAGCATTGCTATACTCTCTTCAATATACGTCTTTTCGTTCATGTGAAATACTTCGAAATATTCAATTATTTAAATTCGAATCGAAGTGAATTCGAATATTCTACTATTCATTCGAATAAATTCGCACAAGCCTACTCAAACCCCATTCTGCATGAAAAAATGGAGTTCTTTCTTCACCCTTATACCTGGCTATGAGATGAAATGAAAAACCGTAACCATGCACCCATCGTAACATCAAGGTACAAAGCACAATCGTTTGTCAGTATTTATTGATCGTGTAAGCATTAACGTCAAGCTTTGTATTCTCACAGTGAGAGCTCTGCGCACATTTTCTTAGGCTATGTGACAATTTTTGAGGTACATTCTGTTAACCTCTTCTACACATCTGGTGGCTTTCAATACTTAACTAATACTTAACGTAAGCTCCTAAGTTAGGCTGAGACACTGAACCGAAAGAAATCTTAATTAGTATATGTGTCAATCATATGGCCAATACTTGTCATGTCATCGGAACTTCGGAACTAGTGCTCTACAGAAGTAGCTCCAGACACATCGGGCGCTGCATGAGAGCTGTACGAGTCGATGTATCCAGCTGTGCGAATTGGAAGTCCAGCCTCTGCAAGATGAACTGTCCTGGGATGTTCCATGTGATGGGAAATGTGCTCCAGTAGCTACATGCAGGCGAGATAACTGAAAGTGAGGATGTAATGAGATATTCTTTGCATTTGTTAGGCTTGTAAATTACTGAGTTTGCTAGCAAAGTTCACAAGTTGTACATTATTCTTGCGATCTGTATGAATATGTTTGTTACCTGCCACGTTGGTCGAGTGGTTATGGTGCTCAACTGCTGAGCTGCAGGCCGCCAAATCGAATCCTGGCTATGGCAGCCACATTTTTAATGGAGTCGAGAATGCTTGAGGTCCCTGTACTTAGGTTGAGGTGCATGTAAAAGAACTCCAGGTGGCCAAAATTTCTGGAGCACTTTACTACAGCATTTTTCATTATCTATGGTGGTTATAAGCTGTTAAACTCTAACATTTACAGTAGACTCTCATTAAATGGAACCTGAAGGAACCAGGAAACTATGTTCCATTTACCAGAAGTTCCATTTACTGGCAGATGACCAGGGGCGTAGAATGTAAGAACGAAACCAATCCCGTAAGATGCACTTGTTACATTTAAGCAGCAGCTTTTTTTTTGCTGAGGGTCTACTGTATTATTATTATTATGAACATGTTCGTTGAAATTCCTGTTAGATGAATAAATATCCCATCAAGTTCAATACGCACGCCTCTCTGTTTGCTCAAAACGAAATGCTAGCAATAAAAGGTTGAATTGACCTTGTTCATGACGTCACACTGTTGCACTAAGTAAAACACACGATGCCTCTTGGAGAAATCAAATAGAAACAGTTTCTTACATTTCTTTCTTTTTTACTTCCAGCTCCCTTGCCACGACCTCAATGTTCTCAGGTGTACAACTTGTTTCACCCCACGGACCCCCTGGCGGCACGCCTCGAACCGTTGCTGAGTGCTCGATTTTCTCAGCTGCCTCCTGTAAATGTACCCCGATATCAAAAGTACCCACTCGGCGATGGTCAACCCGTCCACTTACGTGAGTCTTTCACCTCATTCGTCTCTAGTTTGAGAACCCCACGATAACACTGCATGTACTGGTATCTCAGGTATTGTTGAACTTGTAGAAAGCACTCAAACCAAAATAGTGAATTGTGCACAGAGTTTCAGCTTTTCGTGTACTATAGCTTTAACTGCATTCATAAGTGCTTGTGCAATCGGTCACATGTGTGAAAAACGAAAAGACCCACAAATCACTCAAGAAAAGCCAGGATGCAGTAATTTTACTCTGTTCAATACATCAGGTGCAAGGCTATGGAAGCAAGCAAGACTTCTTGCAGTAGATGCGTTCGCCCTAAGAAATAGTTCGGTGATTTTAGTACTCATATTGTGATTTTTTTTTCTACCGTTTTTAAACTGAGCAATAAATTTAAATGCTTTGTAACTTAGAAATAAACAAACCCCATTATTTATACAGTTGTCAATAGGTTGTTCTGAATTGCTTAGCATTTTGTTTTTGTATTATGGCCTTTGCAATTTGTTTTTCTAGCCCACAGCCAGAGCCAATTGCAGAGGCCATGTTTACAACAATGAAATGCAAGTGCGAGGCGCCCGAACTTGCAAATTTTGCTGACCGAACTTCTTGCAGAGCTTCCACAGCGTTGTGCTTGATGTATGAAGCATAGCGTAGTGTTGACATATATCTAAGACTCTCCACCAAGAAATACCTGGGCATACCTGGAGCTTGCAGTGAAGTTTCAAAACTGGCATGATTGAGCTGTTGGTTTGAACAAGTGAGTAACAATACTACCAAATTTTGGGAAAACTGTAACACAAACTAGGTAATTGTAGTGTGAACTGTGAAAGTGCAAAACTTCACTCGCTATATTAACAGCACTGCCACTGAGTAGCATGCAAGAGATGCAGTGTTTGAATGGGTGAAGAGTGTTTCATTTGATTATTTTTGTACACTTTAGTTGTGTGCATTGTAGATATGCGTTGGTGACTGTGTAGTAAGCTGCCATGCCATGCTGTAGTGTGCTACATATTCTTACCTTGCAGTTCACCTTAACTGCTTTGTTGTTCTGCATAACGCTCATGTGTGGTGGCTACCATACCAAAACCAACAGACTCTTAAAGCAAGAGGGAAGAAAACTTGCTAATAGGAATACTAGTTAGCCTGCTAGTCTGGTCACAGAAACAATCAAGTGGTTTAAATGTCTTTCTCACCACCCTTCCATTTCACGTGTTCGACCCAGAATAGAAGGATTGTCTGTAACAAATCATCATAAAAATAAAAAGTGGAAGCATATCGGTGCATGGTAATTACGGCAGTATGACAGATGGCAATTGTTGCACTAACTTGTGAAGCTTAATTTAAGCTAGTATTTCTATGGAATCACTGTGAGTGATATGAAATTAAGTGGTAGTAATCGTGACATTTTTAGAATGTAGTAATAATCTAGTATTTCATAAGCTGCCATTTCCAGTGACACAACATACTGCAAGTGCAGCTTGCAGAAAATAAAAATAAAAAGGGCACTATGATTATAGTTCCGTAAAAGCAAAGCATTTGATGGCACTGCAAGATAACATTGTATAAGTTCAAGGAGGAATGCACGAAATGAATGCATGAATATTGAAGAAGTAAATGAGTGCCAGAGTAATTCTACAGGAGCTTCATTTGAATGCAGTGTTAATTATATGTAAGTAGCGCTTCAGAATTCAAACTTTTTCTCTTATTTCCTTGGCCTGAGTGTCTGTTGGCTTGGTGTCTTATAAAAATGCTGTCTTACATTAAATGTCTGTCTCACACTTCTTGGGGATACAGCTACTGTCGTGGAATTCAAGAGCGTTAGAAGTAGAAAGCTCGAATTAGGGAACACAATCTGCCCGAAGTATATATGAGAACACAAATGAAGCTCATAACGGAAAGGTCCTCCAAAAAAAAATAGGGCCTCTATGCGGCGTAGCCTTTCGCATATGTCATTTCTGAAGCTCTGTATGGCGAGGTGTGAGCAGACGGCCCTCATTTTGCCAGAGTTGCTGCTGCCTACAAACTCTGGTGCATCTGGTGCCAGTCGAGCAAAATCTCAGGACAGTGGCCGTATTCCCAAAAGTGATTGGCCGAGAGTATAGAGTTCCTTGCCCGGAGGAAAATGGGGCATCACATGGGGATTACGAAAGTTTCTTAACGGCCACTGTGTAGTTCACGACACAGAGGTGACTTGGTGGAAGCCAATTTGGTATGAAAGGCCGTTTTATAAATATGCCCGTCATTCATACCACTGTGCGGAGTCTACGAAGGCTCGTCGACAACGACACTTTCATCGAGTTGCACATTAACATTTAGGTCACCAAGCCCACGTACGAGACCACATCCTCCGCTTTGCAACATGCGCCGTCTCGTCTGGCCTGCCGCATACGCTTGTTATCTCATGCTTTACGAGTAGGCTCCACTTCAGTACAGCATACGTGAAAGGCAGCTAACAAAGACCAAGCTGACACTAATTTCCTAAAAGTGTTTTCTCTTCCTAACATGAATGTGTTACCGCAAAGACGATTTTTCAGGCACAATATATGCTGTCTTACATGAAAATGTGTAGGCTCTGGACCCCCCTTTTTTTTAAAATAATTTTATTAGCTGTTTGCTAATGCCTTGAGGTACAAATGTGTACTGGCTGAGCGTGGATGACTACTGCTAGTCTCAGGGAGCCTGAGGAAGTAACTTCAGTATCGCGTTGATGCCACAAAACCTCAAATCCTAGCCATGTGATGATTCTCCATAAAAGAGAGCAGATAGGTGAGGCCTCCATCTCAAGAAATATGTGCCCACAACACTCAGCTTTATGTCAGGGTACTTCTTTCTCCGTTAAAAAAACTAGTGGGCACTATGTGATGCTGATAGTAAAACCCAGTTCTGCCCACGTAGGAGCGGATGCTCTTACTACTCGGGCCGCTGCTGAAGGTCTGCCAGTTTTGCCTCTGTGTAATCGTAAAAAACACGATGGTCGAGAGACTACCACCTTTGATTCTTCCTAACCTGTTCCCTCACGCAAAAAACTTGAAGCAGCGCGATGAGCGAAGACAAAGAAGTCACATAGTGTGTGTTTTCCTGTACTGTTCTCGTTTTTTCACCCGCTTCAAGTTATTCGCAAAATGGACACACTTGCCCTTCCCTACAAGCTGCTGCTTTTCTCGCCTTGCGGTGTGCTACATGTGCCATGCTTCTTGTCTGTGTTGTCGGGGCGCCCGCAGTGGAATACCTGCAGAGCCATGCTCACATCTTTGTGGAAGGGCTGCCCCCGTCGTCCTCTGGCTATGCCTGCATGGGGCGGCGAACCAGCGAAGCCAGCATCTCAAGCACCGTGTCGGGCGTCTCAGAGGCTCTGCCCCTCAGCACTGTCACTTCATGTGAGCACCTCTGCAGGAGAAAAAAAACTTTGTTAGGGATGACCAGTTTTTGAGCATGTTTTTGATCGTGTTTCCTGTCCTCTGTTTTTTTTTTGTCTTTTCTACTTTTGGGGACAGAGACGCTGTTTGTGGTAAATTTGATGCCCTGCTTTTTTTCTTTTTTTACTTAATGGCAGTGACAAACAAATGAGCTTTTAAGCTTCTGGGTTATTTCCTCAGCCTTGACTACATAAATTTTCTAAGCATGGAGCATGCTGTGCTATTTTCATCTTGCATCTTGCAGAGTTGTTCAATCATACGAGTTGTGAAACTACCCATAGCCTCCATGTATCGAAATCCGGACACGCCATTGGCTTAGACGTCGAGAGTGTGCAGGTTATCGCGCCACCTGTTGATCAGCACACTGACTATTGAATGCATTATTTGCATTTTGCGTTGTGGCTCTCAGATTGTGCGTTGGTATCCTAATTTCTAGGGTGCCTCGATGTGCTGCCATCTTTTGTACTGTTTTCTCTGCCTTCTCCGCCATTGTAGTGCCTGCAGCGTCTTCGCCCAGCTGTAGGGCTCACATGCCACTTTTTTCAGCCAGGTATGCCTGGATGTCGCATTTCTCAGTGCAACAACCATCCGCGTTAAGCTAGTAAGCCGAAGCTGCGAAACCGGTATACAGCGGGAGCGATAATGGCAGCCGCCGTAGCAGACGATGCAGATGTCTTCACTCTGAGCGGAGAAGCGCGCATCGAGGCACTCTACTGATTCCTAAGGAATCAGCATACTGCCACGCCATCTGGACCCTTAGTCATTACGTATATATTTTATGCTCCTTCAGTACCTAAGGGAGCATGAAATATACGTAATTAACACAACTGAAGGGTGAAACAGGGGCCTTTCATTGCTACCAAAAACATCAACAATCGTTACGCATCGCTTCATTTTAGACAGTTCATCAATATGTGGCACAGGCACGCTTAAAGAAAAGTGAGGGTATCGCGGATCATAGGAATTCCTTCGCAGACCCCCTGGGGTCCGCGGACCCCCTTTTGAGAACCACTGACTTAAGGTAACAGGAATGCAGCTGTATTGAAAAATAAGGAGCTGTGGAACTACAATAGGTATGTTGTTGTGAGAGGGATTTGGAAAGGTATCATGGTCCCGGGTTTGACGTTCGGCAATGTGGTCTTGTGCATGAAATCAGAGGTTCAAGCAAGATTGTAAATTAAACAACGTGGCATAGGTAGACTTGCTTTAAGAGCACACGGGAATACCCCAAATCAGGGAGTACAAGGTGATGTGGAATGGTCATCATTTGAGGGCAGGGAAGCTAGCAGCAAGATAAAATTTGAGAAGCGATTGAGAGAAATGGGGGAGGAGCATTGGGCTAGGAAGGTTTTCAGCTATTTGTACATGAGGAATGTCGATACAAAATGGAGGAAGCAAACCAAAAAATTGATGGGTAAATACTTAGAAAACAGCAGGGGGCCAAACCAAAAGGAAACATTGGTTAGGAAGAAGGTGAAGAAAACAGAGAGGGACATGTGGAAGAGTGGAGCTTACAAAATCATCACTGGAGACCTACCGAACTTTCAAGCAGGAAATTGCAAAAGAAAAGATCTACGATAATTCTTGGGGTAGTTCTCTGCTGTTTGAGGCCAGAACAAGATTATTGCGGACCAAGACGTACCGAGCCAATTACAAAGGCACAGACACATAGTGTAGTGCAGGAAACGGCTGAACATTTGGTAATGTTTTGTAAAGGGCTCTGCCCTATAGTCCAAGATAATGGCGCAGAATTTTTTAAAGCATTGTGGTTCCTGGGCAGTGAAGGCGAAAGAGACTTCAAACGGGTAGAAATAACCAGGAGAAGGCTAAGTGATTGGTGGCTACAATCAAAGCGCGAGTGAAATTTAATCCTTAAACACATAGTGATAGTGCTTTACTGTATGGCTAGGCGGCGTGAGCTGCCGCCCGATCTAAAGGGCACAGCCGGATACATACATCCATCCATCCATCCTGCAAAATAGGCAAATTGCATGTCGGGGGTTTTAGAATGCAGTTTCGCAACTGCTATGATTGAATAACTCTGGCATCATGTACTCTTTTGTGAGGTGCTGATATTTTTAACGACACTGTGCTGTTAAAACTTTACGCATTCCAATGGCAAATCAACAATCTAAGTTGTAAACTTATTATGTTGCTTCTAATGCAGCACAGTTTCTCAATTTGCGAGCAAGATGACTTTTTTTTTCTTTGCTCAACTTCTTTATATCTTTGTCATCCTATTTTCTGCCTTAATTTTTTTTGCTTACTCATCACTCCGTGTTGAGTCCTGCGGGCTTCCTTTTTGTGGCGCACACACTCATTTGCATGCCGCTTCACATGTGTGTTTCCGTAGCATGTTTTAGTTTTCGTGCACCTTTTCCGTATTTCTTTATTGCCTTCCTTCTTTCTTTTAGGTTGTGCCTTGTTTTCTGCAGCGTTGCATGTACTGTTTCATTCGCTTTGGTCTGCACGTGCATACTCATATGTTGAGTGCCTAGCCGTAAGCCCTTTCATGAATGTTCTTCTATGCCTCCTTGACTGCTTGTTTTATTGCAGTGGTTGCTGTTATGTACTCTGTTCTGGCATCGTGTCATGTGTGGATTTTCGACATAACGAATGTAAGAATGGTAATACGTCAATTCTTTTTACACGAGCATTTTAGCGCCAAGTTCTCACTTGGGACATGGCTGCCACATCTGAGAATTTGGCTCTCTGAACAAGAACAGGGCAGCAGCGATGTTTCCTGCAAGTCGTGGTGTATTACGCAAAATATAGCACTTATGGATGTCTATGTGCAGCTTATTTGAGAGGCGAGAGGCCAAATTTTTTGCTGACACTTAGATAACCCTGTCAGTGTGTTGTCCAAGTGTGGCTTAGGCATGCCTGTCACAGGCATTTGCATGCTTCAGTGTCTCTCCTAACTTAGAGCTTCAACTTCTTTAGAAGCTTGATTATATGTAATAGATGTATCTTTTTTAGAGTAAGTTCTTTTCTTCAACATTTCTGCTTGTGTTACATAAAATTTGGTAAAATTGTTTAAGGGAGACGTACTTAAGGGGAGATGCTACTCGAAGACACTTTTTCTTCAATATTCACCCTAGAGCAATGAAACTTGAGCCATTTATACAACTTTTTATGCTGATTTCAAATATATAATTAGTTTTCTTGCAAGTTTCACACTTTTAGCTCGGCAGCATGACAAAGTGAAAGCCCTAACCCTTTTGCCCCCCTCTTTTCATCCCTAAAATTTTGTAATTTTTTACCATTCATAGTTAATAATGCTTCAAATAAAGTGCAGAGTGCAAATAACTAATTAGGAAACACGTACAAAATATGTAATATGCGTGAAAAATAATAGACGTAAAAAGTCTATATTTCACCTACCCTAGTAAAGGTATACATACAATTTTTTATTATACAATAAAATATAAAATTTAAACTAGATAATTGCATTTGTCATACTTTGGAAAAAATTTGGGCAAAATTTCATGCAGATCCGAGCACTAGAAGTGCTCCAAAAAAGAGGGGCACATTGGAAAAAATGGCAAAATTTTGGTTTTGAGAAAAACGTGTTTTAATGTTAAAATTGAGTTTTTATTTATAAAATATATTATTAAATCACATGAAATTTGCACGCCAAAAAGAATAATGCTTCTTGTAGTTGCCACTGCGACTAAAATACGCCAGCACCATGAGTTTGTCCCTCTCGGCATTTTTGAGCCGACTACTCGCAGACATTTCGCTCACAGACAGGGCCTTGAAACGCTTGCCAAAGTTCCTCTCCATCTGGTAGAGCCTTGTGCAAACTGCAAGCTAGGAAGAAGTTCGACAGGACTGCGAAATCCAAACTAAGTCCAGTGTCATGCCATTTTGCAGCCATGTTTGTGCGACATATCGTCGTACATAATGGCCATGTCGTCCCTGCTAAGTTCTCTCACTGCGAGCTTTTTCGACCTCTCAAGATTGGTGCTGACGTCATTTATTGCCGCATCACGAACTTTCCTGCTGACGGGTGTGAATGACTTTGATGCATCGGCTTTTGCAAGCCAACAACTGCCGCAAGTCGGACCAGCTGCTCGTAACCTATTCCTACAGAGCGCGCCGCACAACGGCTTTCACTTGTGAGCAATGCATTTTTTCATTCATAACGGAGATAATTACATGAGAAAAGCATTGTGCACCTGCGCTGCTCAACAAGGCATGGACTCTGCAAATAGGTTTCACAGCACATACAGGCGCGCAGCGGCCAACGGCGGTCCCCGATTCGTACCATGTGATAAGCCAGTCGCGGCGCTCGAAAAACGCGCAGAAGAGTTATTCTTTTTATTATTTCTTGCGCTGCACCAGCGAGAGAAACTGTTGTTATTTGAAGAGTGAGGCTAGACTCTTCTGCTCATGCGATCAACAATGGTTAGCGGCGGCGCATTATCGGTGGCAAGGTGCTCGAAGACTCCACATTTTGAACCTTTTAACAGGCATTTTGTGCTCTTTAGATGTAATTTTAAAGCATTTCCAGTTAAGTCTCGCCCTGTATTATTTCTTTCATAACCGTAGAGGTACTAATCTTATCAAAACAGGCGAAAATGAAAAATCGGTAATTTTGAAAAAGCACGCGTTTTTCGACCCGCATCTCCCCTTAACCAAGACTGATATGGCCAGAAACAACACTTATTTTTTTCCTGGCAGTTTTTTAGGACTGACAGCGCAAGCAGAAGTAAAGGAGCTGAGAACATTTGCACCACGATAAATCACTGCGCTGTTTTATGCAACATTATCATTGTTTTCTCTTTGAATAATAACTTCATAATTTGAAAAAAGTACTCATCAGTCAAGAATGAAATATGTCAGTTAATACATAGTAGCCCATATGGGCTTGTTGTTACTTCTCCAACAAAACTTTATTTGAGCCTAGTTGGTATGTATTCCTTAGGTAAAAGTAACAGCATAAACTCACAAGACTCCCCGCATCGTTCTTCCTTCACCACATGTTTCCATCAAGCACTTGACCATGCTTTAACTTATCATCACTAGACTTTTAGTGACTAATAAGCACAGATATTTCGTTTTGCATGCGTGCTGTGTGCACTCTTCGCGGATTTGAATGCGACAACTAATTTTTCTGTATAACAACTGGTACACGCAATTGCTCGGTATAGCCGAATCAAGTCACTATGAATCTGGCCGCTAAAAATAATGCTTGCTTGCATATAGAAGTTGAGTCGGAATTATGTCAATGTGATGAGAAAGAAACAGAGGAAACAAGATTATGTGCATTAATTACGCATGAATTGCATTTAGGGGAGATGCGAGTAGAAAAATGCAAGTTTTTTTGTTTTGGAAATTACTTTTTTATTGTTTTTATTTCCTTTCACAAGTATAGTTTCTCCACTTTCGTGACAGTAAAACTGAAGAATATAATTAATCTCAAGGTAGGTTAAAATCACTTTTAAAGAGCACTAGGTGGCTACTTAAGAACTAAGAAGTGCTCATTGTCCAGAGTACTCCGGAAACTGTCAACCCGCTGCTTGCACTTGCAGATTGTATGAAGGGTTTACTAAAGCCTCATGCTCAAAAGAACCATTGTTTCCAAGCTCTCATGGTGGAAGAAATCATCTAAAAAAACATCTTCTCTGCATTGATGGGCTTTCACTTACACTATAGTACCTTAGAAATGCGTTTCTCTCAAGATCCATTTTCGGGCAACTTCTTGAGTTTAGACATCATAATTTCAATACTTCTGATAGCTCGATCTAGATGAAATTTTGCTCACATATTCCTTAACATGTGACGGGTGCAAGTATATCCTTTAAAACTTGATATTGCCTGTATAATTATTACGAACCTAAAGTAAGCAATCAGTATGGGCTGAGGATTTTAAGAATTCTCACATTAATGTTTTTCTTGACAATAAAAATTGTTTACACACACTTTCTTGATAGTTGTTTGCATTCTACACTTAATATAGAGCAATATAAGCCATTAATGGCTCAGGATCAGAAAAGCTTAATGTTATGAAAAGTTTGTCCAAAAGGAACTATACACATCGTCATGGCACAAGACAAAAACTGTGCAACTTACTATAAAACTACTTACATATCTGAAATTACCATAAAGACCTATATATGTGCAGCTAACATTTAATTTCCCCAGGCTACAGATTAATGCAACCTTTTTTTTTCCGAATCTCATCTCCCCTTAAGTTTGTGAGGACTATACTACAATGCCATGAATGCTTGACTGGTTCTCTCATCGAAAATAATCGTATGTGATGTTGTAAATGCAAGCTGCAATGAAGGGAGTGACGATTTTAATTTGGTGAATAATCATGCCCACAAACGTGTTTAACCTCACAGAGTCTTGTAATAACCTACCTTACACCGCTTTGACGAGAATATTATCGAGAACTAACAGACAGCGATGCCAAAGAAAGTACTATAGGGAATGTTATTAGCAGTAATAGTAATGGTCTCATTCTGGCATACTTGATGTCATCAGGTAGTATGCGAGGGATTACCGCTCAGCTGCCAGCTCGTAAAAAGATCACAGTGCTACGTGACGCTAACAGGCAAAAATAGAGTGTTCCACTCTTGCCGTCACGGCTACCGGTGGCGCTCACTGACACTCTCCCTATTTAAATGCACATGTATGCCCTTTGAAGGGGACAGGGAGGTGACCACCACTGCAGTTTAGTTTGTAGGGTATCGGAAGCGTTATTTTAAGGTCGGCCCTTGCCCCTTATAATTGCTATCAATATATTAATAACATACCCCTGTTCTTTAGCATGAATTGTCTGTTAGTTCTCATTCAATATCCGGCCTAACAGAGAGAATGCAGCACTTAAAGTCTCATTTACCCCATTAACCAGTGACACAGAAGTGGTGGGGCAGCCGACGCCTGGACTTTGCCCTGTACTGCCCTGAGGGCCTGGCCAACTTCCCGCCGCACGTACTGCCGCACCTGTTTCATGCCTCCTACTGGGAGTCTATGGATGTGGTCGGCTTGCTGCTGCGGCAACTGCTTCGCGGAGGGTGTGGTGTCGCGGGTGCCCTTGATGGTGGTGGAGGAGACGGGGTTGTTGCCGGCACACTTGATCGAGACCTGGCCCCTTTCGTGCCCGGGCAGCCCCGTGAAAAGTGGCTCCGCAAGCGCACCTCCGTCAAAATCAAGGTACAGTTTGTGCCTGTTAAAATTTGCAATCCTAACGAGGTGTACTTTTAAAATAGAGTGTATTTTTGTGGCAGATTACTATTCCGCCACAAAAATACACTCTATTGCAAATGGGTTAGTGGCAGATGGTGATCTGCGACTAACCCTCAAGAGTAACGTATATAACAGCTGCATTTTGCCAATACTTACCTACGGAGCAGAATCCTGGAGGCTTACAAAGAGGGTTTAGTTTAAATTGAGGATGATGCAGTGAGCGATGGAAAGGAAAATGATAGGTGTAACCTTAAGAAAAAATAGGGCAGAGTGGGTCAGGAAACAAACCGGTGTTAAAGATATCATAGTTGAAATCAAGAAGAAGAAATGAACATGCACCGGCCACGTAGCATGTAAGCAGGATAACCGCTGGTCATTAAGGGTAACTGACAAACTGACTGGATTCCCAGAGAAGGCAAATGCACGAAGGGGAGACAGAAAGTTAGGTGGGTCGATGAGATTAAAAAATTCGCAGATGTAATAACGTGGCAACGGAGAGCACAAGACCGGGTTGATTGGTGGATTATGGGAGAGACCTTTGCCCTGCAGTGGGCGTAGTCAGGCTGATGACAATGATGATGATGTATTTTTGTGAACATTTCTACACTAACATGATAGTGTTACTTGGTGCTGTCATGCCAAATACGTAGCTAACACACTAGATGGCACTCAAATGGGCTGATATGTTCCCTCGTCTGAACTACTTCTATAGCTATTCTGGTTATCAGATCTTTTTGTCAGTGTAGATATACAGTAAAAGCATAGTGTAACTAATTATGATCAGTTTCTCTAACATACGTTATCGAGAGCAAATTTTCTTGAGAAAAGTGTACCCATCTATGCTACATTCGTAGCATTCTTTGATTCTTTAACCCTTTTCTTACCGAAGACAAGCTGAGCTCATCCACATGGTTTGTACCGCTCCTTCTTAAGACAAGCTCGGCTCGTCCACGCAATGAAGCTGCTCTGATTCATTTTGTCGAGTTCTCTTTCACTGGGACAGATGGTGCAGCAAAATATTTCAAAACACGCTCAGAGCATGGATTTCAATATAGAAATGCATGCTTACATTTGCAATGTCTTATTTTTGGCCAGAAAAGCTCGGCAGAAAAATGGCTTAATGGTGATATACTATTGAATTGTTTTCAGGATCAGCCTTCTCTATAGTTGGCATGCTAACAGAGACAGTCATAGTAAAGTGGGCTGATCCTGTATGTAGTATACGTATTGAGGGGTCAGATAGTGGGGATCTCCACGGAACGTCCCGAGTGTTTAAAGCAACTAAATGGAGTAAAAGGAAACAAAGGAAGGCATGGAAGGGAAGACCAGACGACCCCTACTTACGTTTTCTTTTACTGTGTTTGAGTTGAGCTGAACGCCCAGAACGTCATATAAAGATCTCCACCATGTGACCACTTAATATTTATACCTCTGAAATCAGCCAAGTCGCCCATACTGCTACTCTTGCGGTCTCTGCGTCTCGTCATTTTACCTAGTGAGCTATTGCTGTGGTGTGAAACGTTCAGGTTATGGTCACTTGTGTGGCATTGCATTAACCACTTTGTAGAAACTTCGCTTCTCAGATCCCTAGTTATAGTTTGGGTATGCCAGTTTTTGTTTACAGCTGCAACAATCTGCAGTGGATTCCTCCCAGGCTGAAGTTGGCGTGTGGCATTGAACGCAACTGATACCAGTTCCAAAACAAAAAACGGTGGATAGTATACTTCTGTCCAATGTACTAAATGCAAACTTGTGCAATAATAGCTGAGTGTGTGTTTAATATCTGAATGTGCTCAGCAGCCACACATCACTTTGATAAAACAAGTTTTATTTCCTTCAAGAACCAGTAAACTGAGGATGCTCTTGGTTGTTCTAGTCTATTTCTTCTTCTCCGACGACAAAACATTAACCTTGGCCATGCCTTCGCAGAATGTGACGTCCAACCACCGGGCCAACGACGTGATCGTGAAGGAGGGTGAACCACAGGTGCTGACGGCACGTTTCATGTATGGACCTCTGGACATGGTGGCTCTGTCGGGTGAAAAGGTGGACGTGCACTTGATGCGTGACAGTGGCCACTGGACGCTGCTGGGCACTCAGCTGACCGATCGCAATGGACGGCTTTCGTTCAGCATGCCGAAGGACTTGGGACTCGGATATGGGCTCTTCCCCGTCAAGGCCATCGTCAGGTATGCTCCTGTTGGCCCAAATGGATTGGTGACTTGGTAGGACAGCAATGCACAAGTGCAATGTTAGAAAGCCTGTGCAGCAGCCATGCAGGGCACAATCAATGCCAATCTGCATCTGTCGTGTGGCTAAGAGGGAGAAACAAAATGAGGTTAAGCATGTTGATAATGTGGTAAAATAGATTGCATCACTGTTGTTGACATTTTTGAAAGAACAAAAAAATTGAGACCATTTCACTATTAGTGATGGTACGTGACCTGCAGAGCTGATGTGTGCAAAATCTCCTCTGGGAGTTGTGTAGCGGGTGCATAAGCGTACAATTTTATTGCGAACTGTGGCCTTCTTGGAATTGTGTTTCCGAGCGGAATCGGCACTGCTTCTTCTTTCTAGTGTTCATTGGCTCTCTGAGCAGGCCCCTAATGAGCACACGGCAAAATGCATTTTTGGCACCACATTTCGGTAGAAGCAGACTTTTCCTGATGTGGGCTATTTTCCCTGTCGGCTTTACGTGCTGCCCCGCAGAGTGCTTTTATTCCAGCATCAGTGCGTCTCAAGATGTACCGGCTGCAGCTATGGGCTGCAGCCATGAAAGGTGCGCCGCCACAGCACTGAAGTTTGTTTGTTGTTGAATGGGCTATTATTGTACTTGCCTTTGATTTGTATGCCCTGGTCAAGGAGTGCAAACTACATTTTCTGGCAAAAGGTTGTAACTCGTTAACTATGTAATCCTGGCAAGGTACTGTTCCTGTGTTGCTTACAGCATGGCTTTCCAATGACGTGCCTAATTTTTATCGTTTATACCATTGTTTGGCTGTTGAACATTCTAAAGGCTTTCGTTTTTTCAAAACATGCAGTGCTTAATTAAAAATTATAGGTAAGGGTGGCTGAATTGTAGTTATATTTACATTGCAGAGGTGACCACACATCCATCGACTTCTTCCTTGCTATTGTGCCTCCAAAAACCGAGTGTGTCGTGTTCAGTATTGACGGCTCCTTCACGGCCAGCGTCTCAGTCTCTGGTCGAGATCCCAAAGTTAGAGCTGGAGCTGTAGACGTAGTCAGGTAAGCCGGGTCAATTTTCTAATGATAATAATTAACCTTGTAGAGTGTGTTGTGGAGTTGTCAAAGAATGACCTCAATAATGGACCCCTGATGCATCATGACTCATTTGATGTGAAAAATTCTCCGCTCCTAGTGAAAGCAGTTTCTCCGCAAAATAGATGCTTCTTCTGTTCTTTAATCGCCCTTAGTACTACGAGGAAAGGAAAAGGTGGACATAGCAGAGAAGAAAACCCAACAGGTGCTTATGTGAAACCGCAGATGCTGCCTATGGAGTAGTTGGCTTTCACAGAACTTTTTTGGGTACCTCTAGATGTCGTGCACCCTTATTTCATCATTTTGATGTATTCGAGTTTCACCTGCAAAAACTGCTTGCATTGCTCAGAGCATGCCGCACTGCAATGCCTGGGAAGCTTCGTGATTGCTTCGTATTGCTCTGTTAAGATGCAAGTTGTAGAAAGATTGCAGCATATCCACAAATTGAATGATGATGAGTGGGGCAAAGCATCTGTGTGTCCGTTCGTCCGTCCGTCTGTGGATGTGCTGGGCTGGCTACGTCGGACGGATGGAGTGCCCTACCCCATAAGGAGCTTTGCCCCTAAACAATCACTGTTTCACCACCAGGGGAAAGCGATGATTGATTTCTATGTGAGGTTTAACATCCCAAAACCACCATATGATAATGAGAGATGCCGTAGTGGAGGGCTTCGGAAATTTTTACCATCTGGAGGTTCTTTATCGCGCACCCAAATCTGGGCACACGGGCCTACATTTCCGCCTCCATCGGAAATGCAGCCGCCGCAGCCGCAATTTGATCCCGCGACCTGCGGGTCAGCAGCCGAGTACTTAGCCACTAGACCACCGCGCTGGGGGGAAGCAATGAATGCAATAGCGACAAATTGTATTGTTATACATGGCAAGGTTGGCAGCACTGCTATAAAAGGGGCTGGTTGGTTCATGTTGGCTTGGCAGTGTGCTTAGGGTAGGTAGACGCTATGAAGGACAGAATAGAAAAGTACACAGGACACAGTGTTTATGCGTGAATAATAAAAATCAGTCAAAGTTTGCACTCGTTCTATTAACACTGTGTCCTGTGTACTTTGTTATCTGTCCTTTGTACCGTCTCACTACTGTGGGTGCATCCAGTCTCGTGTAATTATACGAAATACTCGTATAAGAAATACGGCTGCTCTAGGGATAAAAGCTGTTTTAGCACGGTCTCTTCACATTGAGAATGCAGCACGTAGGAGTGTATATGAGCTGCCTCCTGATGCCTGGCGAGATAGCGCGCCACCACCAACCGCGACCACGCCTTTGTAATCAAAGTTCACAGTAGCTACGTGAGCGACACATCCCTACCACACCCTCCGCTGCGCTTTTTTGCTACTCCTCCAAGACGGGTGGGGAATTTCCTCTCTGGGGGAGCAATCAACGACAAGCTTCGCAAGGGGGGAAGATCTCATTCATGTACATGTGCCCTATGTACTACAGCTCGTTTCATCTCTGCTCCAGCCACGTTTGTCACCCATGCTTGCACACTTTCACCCGCAGGTAGAAGATACGATGTGTAGTGGTCAAATGCTATAGATTCAAACTCCATGCGGAACACGACAATGACCTGCCGAGAGCGTTCTTATAATTGCTATCGCAATAAAAGCTTAGATTCGGGAGCTTACGCGAGCACCAGCGATATAACACTGGTGCTTAAATGGGCACAAGTCCCAATAAAGTAGGGACCTACTGGGCGAAAGTTAGCCCAATAAAGAGTTTTCATTTGTACCAACTTTGACTTTGCCTTCTCTTGTACATTGTTGCGCTCTGTGCACCTTTTTGCAGGCACTGGCAAGAGCTGGGCTACCTGATCATTTACATCACGGGGCGGCCCGACATGCAACAGCAGCGAGTGGTCTCCTGGCTTGCCCAGCACAACTTTCCCCATGGCCTTGTCTCTTTCGCCGAGGGACTCTCCACTGAACCTCTCAGGCACAAGCTCAGCTACCTTCGACACCTGCAGACACACGTTAGTTGATGCTGCCATTGCTGCTCATGCCCTTCAATAGATGCCTGTGACCACTTGTTCCGAGAGAATAGGGGCCTGTGATACCGGAAATGAAGTACCACCAGTTAAATATGTGGTCGCCTGCACTCAAATATGTGGTCGCCTGCACTCAAGAGAATGTCCACAGTGCTTGCTAGATTTATTTATCGAATAAATTATTAATTAACATATGATGAAATTAGTGGACAATGAAGACAACAAAAGTCCAAGCATAATTTATTAAGTAAGTGTTGTGTAAAAATATATAGCAACAAAAATGAAAGCGGATTAATAGACAATGTACCCCAGGTGCAAGCCAAAACGACATCTTCTGCTTACAGACATGAGTGGCGTTGGCCAACTTCCTCAGGGCTGACCTTGTCATCATCATCATCATCAGCCTGACTACGTCCACTGCAGAACAAAGGCCTGTCCCATGTTCCGCCAGTTAACCCGGTCCTGTGCTTCCTGCTGCCAATTTATACCCGCAAACTTCTTAATCTCATCTGCCCACCTAACCTACTGTCTCCCCCTAACCCGCTTCCCTTCTCTGGGAATCCAGTTAGTTACCCTTAATGACCAGCGGTTATCCTGTTTACGCGCTACATGCCCGGCCCATGTCCATTTCTTCTTCTTTATTTCAACTATAATATCCTTAACCCCCGTTTGTCCCCTAATCCACTCTGCTCTCTTCTTGTCTCTCAAGGTTACACTTACCATTTTTCTTTTCATTGCTCGCTGCGTCGTCCTCAATTTAAGCTGAACCCTCTTTGTAAGTCCCCAGGTTTGTGCTCCGTAGCTAAGCACCGGCAAGATACAGCTGTTATATACCTTCCGCTTGAGGTATAGTGGCAATCTACCTGTCATAATTTGAGAGTACTTGCCGAATGTGCTCCACCCCATTCTTATTCTTCTAGTTACTTCAATCTCGTGGTTTGGATCTGCGGTTATTACCTGCCCTAAGTAGACATAGTCTTTTACAACTTCAAGTGCACTATTACCTATCTCGAAGCGCTGCTCCTTTCCGAAGTTGTTGTACATTACTTTCGTTTTCTGCAGATTAATTTTAAGACCCACCTTTCTGCTCTCCTTGTCTAACTCTGTAATCATGAGTTGGATTTCGTCCCCTGAGTTACTCAGCAATGCAATGTCATCGGCGAAGCGCAGGTTACTAAGGTATTCTCCATTAACTCTTATCCCTAACTGTTCCCATTCTAGGCTTCTGAAAACCTCCTGTAAGCATGCGGTAAATAGCATTGGGGAGATTGTGTCCCCCTGCCTTACACCCTTCTTGATTGGTATTCTGTTGCTTTCTTTATGAAGCACTATGGTAGCAGTTGATCCCCTGTAGATTTCTTCCAGAATGTTTATATATACTTCATCTACGCCCTGATTCCGCAGTGTCTGCATGACGGCTGATATTTCTACTGAATCAAATGCCTTCTCATAATTTATGGAGGCTATGTATAGTGGTTGGTTATACTCTGAGCATTTCTCTATTACCTGATTGATAGTATGAATGTGGTCAATTGTTGAGTAGCCTGTTCGAAATCCTGTTTGTTCCTTTGGTTGATTGAATTCTAATGTTTTCTTTACTCTGTTAGCAATTACCTGTGTAAATAGCTTGTACACTACAGAAAGCAAGCTGATCGGCCTGTAATTCTTCAAGTCTTTGTCATCTTCTTTCTTATGTCTTAAGATGATGTTTGCGTTCTTCCAAGACTCTGGTACTCTTCCCGTCAGGAGACACCTCGTAAACAGGGTAGCTAGTTTTTCTAACACAATCTGTCCTCCATCTTTCAGCAGATCTGATGTTACCTGATCCTCACCAGCAGCTTTTCCTATTTGCATGCTTTATAAAGCTTTTCTGACTTCTTCTATCATTACTGGTGGGGTGTCATCTGGGTTACTGCTAGTTCTTATAGTATTAAGGTCGTGGTTGTCTCGGCTTCTGTACAGATCTCTGTAAAACTCCTCCGCTATTTTAACTATTCTATCCATATTGGTGTTTATTTTGCCTTCTTTTTCCCTTAGTGCGCACATCCGACTTTTGCCCATCCCAAGTTTCCTCTTCACTGCTTTGACGCCTCCTCCGTTTTTCAGAGCGTGTTCAATTCTCTCCATGTTATACCTTCTTACATCGCATACCTTACGTCTATTAATCAACTTCAAAAGCTCTGCTAGTTCTATTTTGTCTGTTGTACTTGACACTTTCATGATTTGACGCTTCTTAATTAGGTTCTTCGTTTCCTGGGAAAGCTTGCCAGTGTTCTGTCTAACTACCCTGCCTCCAACTTCCACTGCACACTCCGTAATGATACTCGTCAGATTATCATTCATTGTATCTACGCTAAGGTTGGTTTTCTCACTAAGAGCCGAGTACCTGTTTTGCAGCGACACTCTGAATTCCTGTACTTTCCCTCTCAGTGCTAGCTCATTGATTCGCTTCTTGCGTATCAGTTTCTGTCATTCCTTCTTCAAGTCTAGGCGAATTCGTGACCGTACCATTCTATGGTCACTGCATCGTACCTTGCCAACCACTTCCACATCCTGCACGATGCCTGGGTGTGCACTCATTATAAAGTCTATTTCGTTCTTATTTTCGCCATTAGGGCTCCTCCATGTCCACTTGCGGTTTCCTCGTTTTCGGTAGAAGGTATTCAAAATCTGTAAATTATTGCGTTCTGCGAATTCTACTAGTAGCTCTCCTCTGGCGTTTCTAGTGCCGATGCCATAATCTCCTACTGCCTGGTCTCCAGCCTGCTTCTTCTTTACTTTTGCATTAAAGTCGCCCATCACTATAGTATACAGTGTTTTTACCTTACTCATTGCCGATTCCACGTCTTCATAGAAGCTTTCAACTGAAGCGTCATCATGGCTTGTACCTGTGTTTAAATACTCCAGAAAGGGGATGAATGCATGGGTACTATGGCAGCTTAATTGGCAAGGTACCCACAAGCATTATTAATAACTACGGTCAAACCTGGTCGTATGGAATCTGGATCACAAAAGATTTCTATATATAAGTTGTGTGATAAATACAATATTTCGTGTGTCAAAAATACATTTAAAGGATTTTACAACTGTTTGATATACACTTAAACCTCGATGTAACGAACCCAGATATAAGGAAACACCAGTTATAATAAAGAAATTGAAAGATAGTCTTGCAATAGATTTAGTGTTAGGAATAAACCTCTATAAAGAATTTTTGGGTATGACAAACTTATTTTGTGTAAGATGCAACTCTTTTATAATGAGCTTTGAGTGCACGCAATAATTTGTTATATGTGGGTTCAGCTGTGTTCTTCTAGGATAGCTATCTCAAACATTGTTTTCTGGCTGGATGTACTTTTGACTTCTTGCTAATAGTCAAGAAAGATTCTGACCCGCCCCCACTTTTTGTCTTTTTATCACATCAGGCAGAGATTGTCTACCACGCCGCTTATGGTTCTGCCAAGGACATTGCAGTGTACACTGCACTTGGCCTCACAAAAGAGCAGATCTTCATTGTTGGAAAAGTTTCCAAGAAACAACATTCCCTAGCCACGGTAAGGGTCCGTCTGCTTCTCTGTGGAAAGGAAAGCAAAAGTGGAATAAATCGCTTGAGTTGTAGTCTAGAATAGCTTTATCATGAGTTTTGTAAACACAATTTGATGTAAAGAGCACAGATAACAACACAGGTAGTAAATTCCAACTAATTTATTCAAGGCACAGTTGTGTAAATATATGTTCAAAACAGGTAACAGGCAGAGGGTGCAACATCATGGAACTAAAAGACACTGACTATGGTAACTTCGGCATGCTATGTCATTCCAGTGTTGTTTTCTGTGTACGTTGCCCCTTTGTGTACCACATTCATATACTTGTGCCCTGAATAGCTCAGTTGGAAGTAACCACTTATGGTGTCACTTATGTTACTTGTTGTATTGTTCTGGAAAGTATTTAGCAAGCATGAGCTAGACCAAAAAAATCTTGGCATTGTTTCTGCTGCTCTAATGATTCACTGGAATGGTAAACTTGGCGCCAGAAACACGACAACACAGGAACACAAGGAACACCCAGACGGGTCTGTCTAAGTGTTCTTCATGTTTCTGTGCCGTCGTGTATTTTAGCACCAGGTTCACTATTCATACTGAGCATGCACTGACCAAACCAACAGCGAGTACTATTCTAGCTCTAATTTTCTTTGCATTGCAGGTGCTCTACGAAGGGTACGCACTTCACTTAACGGATTTGAAGAGTCCTGGCCTGCCGCTTTGTCGGCCGGCCCAGGGCAATGCCCGCATGGTTCTGTCACGCGGATGCTTTGGGCTGCCTGGCCAAGGTCTCTCTGGTGCAGCCGGTGCTCTGCGGCGACGGCGCTCGGCCAAGCGAACAACCTCTTACCCACTGTCAGCCTCGCCGGCATCCCCTGGCCCTTCCTCCACTTCCGGTGGGGGCATCAAGACTGGCTCTGGCAGCAGTAAAGTGTGAGCGCCTTTCGTCACCGCGATACACAGCCCACGACATCTTCCTCGTCACTTCATCTCCGCAGGTCTGAGTGAGACCTCACTTCTCGTGCACCCGAAGAGTTGTGAATCCTCTTGAGCTAGGAAGGACGGCACCCCCGTGCACAAGACCGTCACCCAACACGTCACATCACCGCACCGCCATGGTTGTTTTGCCTTTCCACATGAGCGACATCTGTAGGGTTTACCTTAGCCTTTTCGAGAGAACCTTCCCCTTTTTCAGAAGAAAAATGAGTTTGCTTCTATACTTACTGCAAAGTATCACCCTGTGGAGTGGCTTCTGCGCTGTTACTTGCTCCGAGTCTTGGAAGTATCTCTTGCGAGACTTGGCTGTGTAGTGGGACATTCGTCGGAAAGATTTATGTGTCAGTTTTCAGTGTGATAAAAGCTTGCTTTTGAAGTCATCGACAGATCAGGCAGCTTTAGCTAGCAGGAACGGTATAGTTTGAGCTTCAGCTTCTACAAGCTTTACGGGTAGCTGAGATGTACAGCGAAAAAGACGCTTTGCAAGGGAAATGAGCCCGAGTTTAACGTTGCATTGTCGACTGTGCTGTGACACCAGTAGAGGACTTTACGGGCATGGAAAGCCAAGCATGGATGTATAGCACAGAGTTACTCGTGGCAGCTGCAACGTCAATGACAAGTGTTGCTATACTCGGCCATCATGCTTTGTTCACCATGTGACAGTTCCTCATTGAGAAGATAAAGGGTTTCGGTGTGGTGTGACACCATTTTTCTGCTAACTCTCATCAAGATTTTCAAGTTGGGAACTTTGCATAAACGAAGGTGGCGGGAGACGGAATGCTTACAAATAGCGGCAGTTTACTTGTCAGTGGAACCGTGCACCACTTATTTTTTTGTGGCTTTCTCAAAAGGCTCGATTCATCTTGACAAGAGTGAGCTTTGTCATCATTCCTGCTTCACCACGTGTCAGCTACGCTTCGCTGGCACCAAGATGCAGGGAGGAGCACATCGCTCCTCGCCGTGTGAAACTGGACAACGGAAGAGAACCCCACCATCTTCAGCGTAGGTTGTGAGATGAGCATCGTTTGACGGCCGAATGTCACAAACAAGAACGCTCCACGAGTGCTCTACGTGTGATGCCTAGTACGAAGCTGTGTCGTTACCTGCGTCGGTGTAGTTGGCAGGGATTGTTTCTTTTTTTGCAGGAAGGTGCTCAGGTCGCACTGTGTTTCTCATCCCCCCTGCCTTTCCGTGTGTGGCCTACTTTTAGTGCAAAACATAGTTGATACGTGAGTATGGTTGTTGACCTTTCGAGAATGTTTTTATTTCTTACCGCGGGAGGTGTGCGTGTCCAGTGTAGCACGTTAAATTGAACCTTGCTAAGCAGCCGAGGTGTTGCGTGTGGAGGATTGTAGAGAGCGTAGTGTGCTGAAGGTGTGGTACGTATCGGTAGCATTTTGAAAAGGATTTCCCAGCTTCCAGCTCTCTTGAAGACATATTTTCTGTTGTTTGTTGTTACAAAGGTTGCCGAAATTTTTGTAATTTAGTTACTTACAGTGTTAGGTTGCTGTAGGTTTTCCCATTCCATCATGCTAGTCAGTAATGGCTGAAGAGATGAAGTGATTAGCATGGGTATGGAAATACATGCGAGAATGTTGGCAGAATAGCTTAGCTCTACGCACCTATCAATGCTGTGCAGTGATTACAAGTGCTAATGGGCAAGATGGATAGCCTAGATAGACTTGTCTACTCACTTGAAATGTCCACAGCTAACTCTAATGCTTGTACGATCAACTTAGACTGGACCACTGTCAGAGGATTTGGGAAAAAAAATGAAACAGTTACTATCTTCAAAGGCTTTCTATATTTATACCCTCATGCTCAAACGCTGTTTATTAAGGTGCAGTGCTGCACAATGTCAAATGCCAAGTGTTAGAAAGGCACATTTTCTTTGCAGGTTTATCTAATGTTGCTTATTTTGCACGTTCGACACCACGAGTTGCTTAGGTGACATGACCTTCATATACTCTAACCCTAAGAAATATGTCTAGTCGCTGCTTTTTATGAGTAAGAAGCTGTTATCACTGCTAACTTTTCATCAACTTCTCGTTACTGCATCTTTAACTTCAGATTCAGCACTTATTGTTACAACCATACACATGCATTCTTCTTGTTTTTAATGTATATGATACAAAGCATTCATGTTTGCATTGCCATATGTGCATCAGTATAGTGTAGATGTAACACCGATATGATGGGCATTTAAATATGGCAATTTGTGGGGGCCTGCGGCAAAGGGTGTTTTCGTGTGTGGTATCACCCACATCAATAAGCGCTCGTGAGGTTTGTTGTGTGCACATTATTCACAATTCTCATTTTGTGTCACACTTGAGCTTCAAGGCAAGCTATGCAGCATTGTTCAAAGCTTCACAGCAGCATACTAGTGGTTGCCATGAAGCCCCAGTCCCTTTCTGAAGGTAGCAACATCAAGGGCATCGATTTTTTCTGGTGACTCAGGGTACAAAACAGTTTCGATTTTTTTTTTCATGACTGTGGTGTGCGACCAGTGTCGGGACCCTTTTTTTTTTAAACACAGATTATGGGTTATGTACTAGGCTGGGAGAAAACACGGCATTTATGTTTGTCCTAAAGAAAGCCAAATTGTTTCAGCTCTCAAGCTTGATACTCGAAGCCAGGTTTCTCAAAAGACGAGTTGGAATAACCATTTGTTTAGGCCAATTGTGTTTTAAATTTTTGTGTATAAGTATTACCGTGGTCCCAAAAGTATGACTAAGCCAGCACCATACTATGGCATGTTTTTGAGGGTTGCCGGCCAGTGGTTCTCAGCCATGGATGTGTCAGGACCCCTTGTGGACTGGTGGTAGTGATGGGGGACACCTTGCAGCAAAGGGGAGGGAGGGGGGTCGTGGTAAGTAGGTAAATTAATACAACGCAGCGTGAAACAGGGGTCTTTTGTTGCTTTCGAAAACATCAATAAACTTGCCACATTGCTTCATTTTGGACAGTTCATCAATACGTGGCATAGTCATGCTTAAAAAAAAGTGAGAGTTTCGGGGATCATAGAAATAGCTTCGCGCACCCTAGGAGGTCCGCGGACCCCCATTTGAGAACCACTGCCGTAGGCAAATAAAGTGATTCATTGAGCATTAATACCAATCAAAGCCAATATCTCTTTGCTCATGAAGGCAGACACATCCCAAATAAATTTATAGTTCAATTGCACTTATTTCTTCGAGTTTGGACTGGTTTATATGCGACCTGGTTATTAACTTCCTTAACTTGGCTTTCAATTTAAAAGTCGAAAGCCTTTAATAGACTCCAGCCCAGAACATGAGAGATCTGCAGCAGTTTTTCATGAGCGTGAAAATTAAACCTTGTTTGAAGTACCATATCTCTTCCCATATAACCCGCCCACGCATATAACCCACACTCCCAACTAAACTTCGAGGGAAAAAATTTAAAAAAGGTCCCTGCACACTATTGTAAAGAGCTTACAGCTACCTTCTTTGCCAGCTGTGCAGCATTGACATGAAGCCACATTGCTTGCCAAAATATGTGTATAAGATCACCTCAACTTCTACTCTGATTTTCCTGTACTTCATAGCAAGTCATGCACAAAAAAAGGCAGTATAGTTTCTCTGGGTTTGTATTATTCCTGTACAGTGCTGTGTGCATTTGCATTATAAACTTTGGAAATGTTTTATTTCTTTAATTTACAAGGGCTAAACATCTTTCTGAACTCATACATATTGGAAGACAGTCTATAGTCTAATTTAATGGAAAGTTGGGCGAGTTGGTTTGAGGACATTTTGGTAGCATTTCGGCACGTACACAGTGGACGGGAGAACGGAAGGCTAGGAGGCACGCGCTTGTTTGTTTCCTAGCCTTCCGTTCTCCCGTCCACTGTGTGCACGCTGAAATGTTACCAAGAAAGTCTATAGTCAATAACCAAGCTACTGTGCTTGTTTATTAGCACTGTCATTACATAATGGCGCCACATTCATTGTTGCAACAAATGCAAGCCTGTTTTGAGTATTTGTGTACCTGTTCTGGCAGTAGTATATGTCTTCAGAGCATAATTGGATCTGAGTATCCTTTAATGCAATACACAGTTCTTTTATTTAACACTTTACACAGCTAATAGGTGAAGGAAAATTCGTGCTGTCTTGAAGTGGTGAATGAGGGGAAGCGTGTTTGCCTTCGACAAAGCCAAAGGGCAGCCCTTCTTTGCACCGTAGCAAGAGTGCTTTCATCTTTGTTGGCGTGTTATGTTTCTTTCTTTGTTGCATTCCTTGAGTTTTATTTTTTTAATTTTATGTTCTGTCTTTAAATTCAGAGCGATGAAGTCAACATAGGACTAGTCTTTCACGTCTCACTTTTTTTTTTATCACGGTTGTATATACAACCCATGGGTGTTTGTTCCTTTCCCGATAGGGGTGTATATTTGTTTTTGTTTTCTGTTATCTTGTTTTCGCAAAGCCGTGTATTCTTGCATAAGTGAACCCTTACATGCAAGTATTAATAGCAACCTTACTGCCATGACTTTTTAGCCATGCCTTGTGCCACATGTCCAATCAAGAGACCACCAAATGTATAGTCCTTCAAGTTTTTTTTATATTTTTTAAATTGTTATCTTTGAGGTCAACCTTGTCCAAACATTTTAGATTAGTTTATTTTAAACTTGATTACAAAGGGTCCGAGGGCATCTTGAGAAGACTCACGTACAAGCATAATATTTGCAAAACTTGAGAGACGTTATGATGCTTTAATTTTTTTTTCTTGCTTTTTTGATATGTTGCACGCAGTCATGAAAAGTAATGCAAACAATGTAATATTTTCTTATATTGAGCAATGCCTTCATGGAAAATGCTCGAAGCTGTGAATTCATCATTTTGATTTAATGTGCGAGTCACTCCTTTTTTGTTTTCATCTTTTGTCAATTCTTTTTTGTTCACTTGCCATATGTCATGGTAAGTGTATTTGTGTGCACTGTGTAAATTGACTCTTTACACTTTTTCATAATATTTTTTGTTTGTTTTTGCTGGTTCAGATATTCACAATCAACTTTTAAGATGTGTCAGGCCTTATCAATTAGATTAATTTAAAGACACATTTGAGGGACATCTATCTTCTTCCTTAATCATGATTTCCACATTTTCTTATTTATAAGCATCTCACCCATCTTCGGCAAGGAAAGACTGGGAGCAACTGGGGTCATTTAGGAGGCCGACGTCGTCAGGAATGTACTGAGCATAATATACAATCTCAAGGGAACAGAAGAACCATTTCGTTAACAGCGTTCCAAGTGTGGTAGGACCACTAGTTAGTGCGATTGCGTGAAAGTGCAGTGCAGTGGTTTATGCATAGGCTTATCCAAAGTGAATGGAAAAAGAGCGACAGGGCTGGCATCTTATAAAAAGAACGCATGGGCTATGAGAACCCAGCTGCGTAGAAAGGTTGACTACTATGCTGGGTACTAGTATGTGTTCAACATTAGAAATGAGGATTCTCGAAGAACAAAGGCACTGACGATACTGAAGGTCTTTGTTTTTGTATACCCATGTTTTTTTTCTGTTGGTCTAGGCTGCATGCAGCCAATGCATGTATTGTATGAGGAAGATATTGCCGTCCAATACAATCAAATATAACTTCACCATGATTCATGGTTGTCTACTCAGTATGCAAAACTCAAGAGAATATAATAATGTGAGGACTAATTAACACTAATTCTTGGAGGATAGCAAGTAATTGGAATACACGTAATGTTTAGTGCTCCATTTTTTTTTTTTTGTCTGAGAAATTGAGGTTCCAACAAATGCCACCTTCAACGTAGATGCCAGTGTCAACTGAGATTCAAAAACATTCAGTGGCATCGAGAATATAGTCACACCTTAGTATGAGCCTTTCACCTCAGTATGAGACATCCATAAGCCACCATATCTAATTGCAACAAACAGATGGTGGAGGTGCCTCTATGAATATTCGTGAAAGCATTATACTGAATTGTAAATAATACCACCCCTGATTTACTCGCACTGCATCACACATCCAGAAATGAGGGCTCTTAATTATTAAGAAATATCCGATAATGAAAAGTTCTTAAATACGATCTTTCAATTTGTTTGTGGCAGGTGTAGGTCTCGGCGTTGTTTGCAAGTGCTTCAGGATGAATAAAGTTCTCCCCTGTCCTAGTTACTGGCACTCAAATGACACGCAAGTTCAGGGAAATACGAAAGCATGAAATGATGAGGGATCACAGAATGTGAAATGTTGGATTGAGCCACACTCCCTGCTCACTGATTTCTCACCGCTTATGCTGAACATCTCCTGGAGGGAAAAAAGTAAGTGATGGAGTTGAAACAGCATTAACTGGCCTTATGTCAAAATTTAAAGTCGCCGAATTTACGTTGTGAACTCGCAATCGTTTTGCTACTATATTGCTTCATTTTTTATGTATTCATAGAATAGTTAGTTTTTATATTTTAACTTAACTCATATAAACAGGCTGAGAGCTGCAATTACTAGAAGCTACTCCTGTGCAAAGAAAAAGAAATTGCAGTGTTTGCCATATTATTCAGACATTATGAAAGTTTTTTTGTTGTTACTGAAAACGTCTTTTGCTTGGGACTGCCTCCTCAAGAACATCGCCCCAAATCCATTACATCATGTTGATTCGAGGACAAAGCGGGCGCTTGAGTTTTCCGCAAGATTTTGTTATTCTATACACAAACGTGTTAGGGACACAGCGAAAGCGATACTGTAGAAAATCCTCTGTCAGTTTCTTGACTCTATATTTTCTTTGAGTGCATGTGTGAATTACGGCTCTTTCTTTGTTGATGTTTTTGCAAGTTTTCTTTTTCAGCTTGCCTTGTCTTCTGTGCTAGATGCTTGTATGGTATTGCGATATGAAGTTACGATGTCTTTCTTGCTTATGCTAGTATTAACAACCCATTAAGGGCCACTGCTGAGTGATGTTCTCTTGACACATATGGCCGAACGGTCATAATTACAAAACCACGACTTAATACAGTCAAACACTGTTGATGGCAGCCTTGCCTCCAGCACAAGTACCATTGTTGTGAATGACGCATGTTACAGTTCAGATTCGCTGTGTTGTATCTGAAACTTTGTTAATTCTACGCTTGTTGTGCTCAAGTTAACTGCATTGCAATAAGTTAACTACAGATAACCATGTTGCGATAATGAGAGGCTGTCACACACAGGGCAAGGTCTGCAGATCTATTAGCGATAACTTTGTATAGGTAGAGCACAAGAAATCTGCGTTTTCCTTTTAAACTTTCTGCCACACCTTGTATGATATTAATGAGTTGACTTTTATTTATCTATGTTTTCATTGCCCGAACAATGTAGAAAATAATTACAGGGTCTATTTGGTGGTCATGTACAAAAGTGCAGAAAGGTTGCAAAAGCATACTCATCGCCTTTGCAATGGTGGGTTATGTAGCGATTTCTCACAATGTCTGTATCACATAATAGTGTGGCATTTACCATGTAACGACCACCAAGGATCTGATGTGAATGCTGTCGGCTATTCACTTTGCATGTCTAATTAATTGATTTTGTTGATTGGCTTGCTTGACTGGCCCAGAGCAAAAGTGGCTGAAGTGGTGGGCATTACTTTCCATAGAGCTACCGGCCATGTCAACATGAACGTATGCTGGTGAGGATAGAAGTTATATGTTGCCTTTGTTGGTCTACGTGTGGTTTGCTTGAACGATTCAAGGCTGTCACGCGTGTGTTGATTGATGGGCATTCTAAATGTTGCTGCAGTTGCCTAAACAACAGCCTGTCCTTCCACCCCTCACAATGACCCAAGAATGTTACTGGTTAGGTGAGCAAAATCTTTTAGACTGCCTGGTTGAAGGTATGGCAAGAGCTTTTTTATAAATTTTCCGTGCAGGAAGGTCTTGTTGCATGTAGGAAACCATGAGGACAATCGCATAGGGAAGTGAAGCAGACTGTGTGTAAAGCAGTTTGATTTACACGAATGGCACCATGTCTCAAATTGCATTCAGTATTACATGCATTGCTTCTTTCGGTTAAATCAGTAACCTGTTGCAAGTGGATATTCTTGTGGGGAGAGTTTCTGAAGCTGCCTGTGCAGCTGCCTGTGGAGCTGCTCCATCTCGTTTGCTGACAGATTGAGTTCATTTGTGAGCAAATAAGTATGCAAAGTACTTTAGGCACACTGGTGAAAGGCACCAGTCTAGATTGCAGAATAATACTTTAGTGTGGCATGATTAGCACAAGGCAGAAAAATTAGTGCGCATGGATTCTCAAAGGTGCTTCAATAGTACGGTGCAATATACAATGTAACCACCACTCGTAGCCCATACTTGTGCTAGCACTCTGGTAGCAGTGCTAGCCGATTGATGCTGCGGCTGCAAGGGCATATATAGACAGCTGCGCCATGGTTACTCGTAGCACAGGGTGGTCTCCAAGTCAACAGGATGAGTGTGTCGAGTGCAATGATGCTCGACAGCTCTCGTCGCTCCGAGCGACTCGCCGTCTCTAGCGCCAGGTTCTCACGCTGGCTTTCTAACAAGGTATATTTGTTCTGTGCTGTGTTCATCTGTTAGTGTCGAAGCTGTTACTCGTCGATTTCACTAACGCCGTTCCCAAAATTTCTGGGTCGTCTTCGCCAGTTGTTTTGCACGATGCAGGTCAGCGTAGTGTACCGCTGTGGCTTACGACGATAGACACGAACAAAATGCTTGAAGTGCCCACTCCACTAGTCCAAGGACATCGGCTTGGCAGGGTTGCCAGGCACAGATGGCCTTCGTAGTCGTCTATTATGGCCCTTAGGCATGAACACATCATGCACTGATGTTCATACCCTTAATCGATGTTGCACTGATCTGATGTTTATAGACAAGGCATCTAACTGTACATATATATGTATAAATATCATGATAAGTCACCGCCTACGTGATTAGCAAGAGAAACCTAGCTTTCTTTCTATTGCAATGGCCAACTAACATTTCACATAGCTGTATTTTTTTGTTATGAAGTTGTACTTTGTATCTGTCATTTAAGTCCAATTAATTTACAATACAAATAATTCAGTGCTCGTTTCTGTTCATTGAGAATTTAGGTAACCTGAGACCACACGTGCACCTTGGATTGTTATGTACTTTATCAATTCCCAAGTAGACAGCCACGTGCACGTATGTATGGAATGCTTGAACAAGCAGTATCAGGAATTCAAAAACCTTGAACACACTATTACTTTTACATGTGTTCCAAATGTGTTCCAGCACGACTGTGTTCCTCGTTAATAACAAAAGCGTTTCATTGTCAGTGCGTGTAAGTGTTGTGAACCCTACCTTGTACGTCCCTTGTTCACCCACCTTATCTTTTATGTTCATGTCTCCAAAATGTGTACTAAATTAAATCACTCTTGCCATAAATGCAAGTTAACATTTGCCTCGGCTTCGCAAGCGTTGAATTTGTTGAACGAGTCGCTATTTCATGTCCACTCTCATTCACCAAACAATTGCATAATGACCTGCGATTCTTCAGGTACGCTCTATACTTCTGGTCTGATGAGGCAGAATGGTGCGATAGAAAGCGAAAAGAAAAAGGAAGCTCGACAGAGCACTAGTATAGTTAATCTCCTCTTGCTAGTGACAGAGGTATCACTGGTCGACTCGACTATCATTTGTACACAGAAATTTTGATGAATACAACTGCACAATGAGCAAAACATGTATTGTCACTTGGTTAAGCTAAAGCTATCATTCACTGAGCCACGCGTCCCCAACAAAGCAAAGTTGATGCTCTTCCCTGCATGGAAAAAAGTGATGAGTATGCCCCAGACAACACTGCAGTCTTAAACCTGTAAATTTGCTGCTCTAATTTTTCTAAATTGCCACCTTTCATTATTCATTGTTGCTTTTTGAAGCATTTCATACCGCCCATCTTCCTTCTTAAATCCTCCAGCCTTGCTTGTGCAACATGCATGAGCTTGGCTTAGGAACAACTTCACACTGTCGTTGAATCAAAATTGCTGAAGCTGTACAAGTTTCCCTGTTTCAAACACTGCAGCAGCAGCAAAATCCTGTTGTAATCTATGCTACCGGCTGTATAGCCCTTTTGAAAGAACACCGCTGCTTCTGGAGGCAATAGCGCGTCTCCATGCATCGTGTCTGCTTGGGCGCCATTTGTTGCATCCTTCTCAAGAAGAACCTTGTCCTTAGTAACGTGTTTGTGATGAAGGCCGGAAGAAGGCACTGTCCTAATGTCTTTTCTGTCTGTCACGCTTTCCCTTTTCACATGCATAATTAATTCTGTGTGTGTGTGTGTAGATCACCAAACAAGGAGGGAATAGGGGGAGGAGGTGTGCCCTCTCTCGTTGCACTCGATGCCAGTGTTGCGTCTTTTCACATTGCACAGTTGGGCTCCTGCATTTTCCCCCTTTCCCTACCCACCTCCCATGTTGCATAGGCATGATTTGCTGTCAGAAGTGGAAAAGATGATGAAAGTTTAATTTTTTATTTACAAAAATAAAAAAAGATTGTCTACTAGAGGTTTTCATGTGTCATGCTTATTATGTGTTTGAAAGTTAACATGCTGTTTCTTAAATAACACCACAGTTTATTGCCTGTTTTTTTTTTTCTTGGAGGGGGGGGGGCCTTGACTAGAGGCATCAAAATTTCCGGAAATTTCAGTACAATTGAGAAAAGAAAGATTTTTTTCGCTTTTTTCCCGAAATTTTAGAAAATATGGAAAAGAACAAATTTTCTTTATCATATGGCAATAGTTTATTGCCGAATGTCGAAAGCAGTAACTTTCGTTATGTAAATAACAGAAGTGAAATGCCTTCAGTCTTTTCACAAACAAATACTGCATTTAACAGATCGAAGGCGAGCCAGAAGCATCACTACGAACTCATTCAGTTCTCTGTGAATGGGTGCAGCTTCATACAATTGTTACAGCAGTTAGAGGAAAACACAAGAAACGTCCATTTTGTGATGGCTTCACCTACGAAAACAATGTTAAAGATGGTAAAAAGGTGATGTTCTACCTCTTACTCACAGTCACTATCACTGGCTTCATCTGTAGCTTTCTTCATCATGTTGAGACGTCGCAGTGGGAAAAGCGTAGCTGCCGTTGCAGTGCTTACAGACAGCGGGTACCCGTTTCTCGCCAATGGTCTTCCCGACTGTGAAGTGCATCCACACTTCGGAAATTGGCCCTACCATCGCAGAATCTGCTTGCACACAGCTTTATATGCGGATTTCCACCACAGGTTGCAGAAGTGTATGAGGGAAAGTGAAAACTGACTTTCATTCGTTACGGGCCTCCCAAAAGAAACATCAGGAACCGCCCCCGCAGGCACGCTAGACTCTAGCTACGCTGGCGCTGACTTTATGTGATGTCGATCGTTTCAGTCGCATTCTGCGTTTTGCTTTCATGTGCGACGCTGGGTGTTGCCTAAGCTTCATTTCTGTACGTTATACCCAACGGAAGTTTTAGCCAATTTTTTCAACTGTGCCGAAATAAAGAAACAAAAAAAAACCTGTTTTTTACGCGGAATGTTTTCCTACTTTTTTTTTTTCCTGCACTACCCACCACCTTTGCTGATCAGCAATACATGCACGTATACACATGCCACGCCCTGCCGCGGTGGTCTAGTGGCTAAGGTACTTGGCTGCTGACCCGCAGGTCACGAGATCGAATCTCGGCTGCATTTCCGATAGAGGCGGAAATGTTGTAGGCCCATGTGCTCAGATTTGGGCGCACGTTAAAGAACCCCAGGTGGTCGAAATTTCCGGAGCCCTCCACTACGGCGTCTCTCATAATCATATGGTGGTTTTGGGACGTTTAACCCTACATATCAATCAACGTATACACATCCCCCCTTCTCACACACACATGCATGCATACATGTCTGCCTCAGTGCCAACTACAGTGGTGACATTTCGGTGGAGGAGCAACGCTAGACATCTGTGTTCTGTGCAATGTCAGTGGTGCTACAGAACACCCGATAGTCGACATTTCTGGAGCCCTCTACTGCAGCGTGCCTCATCATCACATTGTGGTTTTGACGCATGAAATGCCTGGTATTACATATATACATACATACATACTTGCAGACACGCATACACACACATGCATATTATATACATGCATACAAATACAGTGGTCCTGGACTGAAATAAGCTAGTTTTGGGATGCTGCTTTTCAAGATTCTTGGTTAGCACGCAACTTTCTCCTCTATATGTTAACATTGGCAGTAGTATACGATGGTTGTACACTTTCTAGTTCAGAGGACAGGAGCGAATTGCCTCTCAATTATTTTGGAATGCCTGCCATAAACTCAATACTATTCTTTGGTAAATTTCTTTTCCTTGTGGGTAGACTACAATGTGCCTGCATATTTTCTGTCCAGTAACATGAATCAGCACCTAGTCATCAGGGTCATAGGCTGGGCTGGTTAGTGACTGATGATCGTGGGTTACTGTGCAGACAAAAATGGGGACGACAAAAGACGGATACTGCACTTTTACATCTTTTTTGTTGTCCTCCTATTTTTTTTTCCTCGCACAGTAAACCCTGATCACCACCAAATCATTAGGAGGGCACTAAAGCGAAGCAACAAATGAGTTGATATTGATCGATTATACTTTGAGTACTCTACTGTCACTAATTTCACCATTATAGGTTCAATAACAGAAGACAAATTCAGGATCAAAGTCTCATTCTTAAAATTCACGCTGATATTGCTGCAGGTAACATCATGGATTTCAGTGTGTTTTTTTATATTTTGACAACATTGGCCCAACGAAATTTTCTGAAACTTTGTATGTTATGTTTCTGGCCACCTCAAGAGACAATTATTCTCATTTTTCAGATTGAGAACTACATAAGCCCTATTACATGCCTTCAAAATCTGTGATGTCACAGCAACCGAGGCAGACACTTCCAGGTGGCATCACTGTTTTCCTGCTTACCTAACCATCTTATCACGACAAGCATGGCAACTTCAGTATTGTGAGAGAAGTTTGTTATTACTACAAGAATTTTTTTTCTCTTCAGTGTCCATTTAAGCTTTCAAAACTTTTCTCGCTACAGTGCTTATTTGGTAATCGCACTAGTGTTGACATTTTTTTATACGTGGGCTCTTCGAGGTTCGTTTTTTTTTTTTTTTTTTTCAATTTATTAGTCGGGTTATGTCAGGCATCCGGCGTTCTCCGCTGTGGTGTCCGCGCGCCGTCAGGCGTTATCTCTCCGCTCTCACTCCTTCTCCCATAGCAACAGCTGCAGGCACGTGCTTGTCCTTGTCCCTATTAGCCGGAGCATGCGGTGCAAGAGAGTGTACAAAAGGGTAATTGCAGTCCTTTGCTGCTCTTTCTCTCACATTCGCTCTCTCTCCTCCCTGTGCCCCACGCCCCTGTCCGCTAGCTTGTCACTCTCAACCGTTCACTGGCTGAGCGCCTCTCAAGGCGATGGCAGAAGTCAGTGAAGGCGAATGTTTGATGGCATTTTTTTAATACTTTCATTCGAATGCAGTCGTTTTAGCTGAACTTGCAACCTTGATTTCAGCAGAGTAGAACGCCACCGCAATACTACTGCTTGAGAGACAGTGCTGTCCCCCCAAGAATTCAGGTAACAACATGTGCTTGATAAAAACTGTGCTTTTATACACACATAATGTACACAGATATTTACACTGAAGAGCTTCAGTCTTCACTGGTGGCCCTTCACGAATGACTTGCGAAAGTGCAGATAAGTGGTGTCGTGCGAGCGCAGCAATGGATCCGGCGGATCTGTCTCGCGAGGTCGGTCGTATACTGTCGAGATGAACGCTTCGCCTCGGTTGCGCTTTCGCTTACTTTCGGAAACTTTCGTACAAGCTTTTCCCCTCGGTAACTGCAAAGGTAAAAAATCCCAAACAGTTGCAAATTAGTACAGAAACATACATTACTATTGCATTAGACATTATACAACACAACAAACCAATAAAGCAAGAAAAAATAGGCTTTGGACCATGACAGCTCATAATAAAATAAAATTGTCTCAGTAAAAGATGAAGAATATAGAGTATTTTGAGAATGGGCTTCAGTGCCGCCATATGGGACTGTTGCCCCTGCCTTCTTGTATCTAAATGAACAGTGCTATAGTGGGCATATACACATGAAAATTGTATTTGTGCATTCGATGCTTCCTGACCTTTTCAATACACATCAATAAATATGAAAAATAAGAAAAAATTTTGCATGTCAAAATGACAGCACCCACACATGTCTTACGTAAAATTATGAATTACAGAACAAGTGCGAAATAGCTAGGCTATTACAACAGATTACTTAAAGGACCCCTAAATCACCAAGAGGATGAAATGTAGTTGTCATGGTGAAGTTGTGCACAAATCTACAACAAAGACATAGAGAGAATTTTTCGAAAGAGCACTGTAATGGTGAAGTTAAACGATTGCCCTGTTTAACGATTGAAACACGGCGATCGCTTTTTTCACTTTCTCCTTTGCTACCTTCTACTGGTCTTCTTTCCCAAAGCTTCCCTTCCCTCCATTCCAAGTGCCTCTCACGATCTCGCGTGGCATACGTCATCAATGATGTGCTTATTTATTGAAACACCGTCTACTTCCGGTTGCTGCGATTCGGTGAACTCCATGCTTGTTGGCTAACCACTATTGTCGTGCTAGCCGGTGTTCTAGCACGCATGCCTTCAAAAGATTGTCAACTTGAGGGACCTATAGGGTGACACGCCGTGCCAGAGCACGTCCGCACGAGATGAGGAACCGCCACCACCACAACACGATAAACAAGGAGCACACGCAGCTGCTCGCTGACTAACAAAAGTCGTGGGTTCTTGCTCAACCAATCACAGCATGACTTGCGCTATACATCACAAATTCAACTTTGCGATGCCACACGGAAGCGGGAAGGCTCAAAGAAGAGGAGGGATTGTTTCTTGGAATTTGTGGCACTTTTGCAGCTCATAGCACTGCCACAAGTGGCATCGTCGATAGTTTGTAAAAATATTGCAGCAGGTTTAGGGGCCCTTTACCGAAGACAGCACATACAATAACTAAAACGGCAATGCTTATAGTATCTGTTTTCACATTGTGTCAAGGTGCAGCTGCAAATCTTTGGCCATGTTACTCATTCATTCAGCTTACCCAAATCCAGACCTGTCCCACGGATGTTGTCCGGCATCATCGATAGGTGTTGCTATACCTTCTTTGGCACGACCAACACCTTCCCCTTCACTCCAGCCTTGCTGCTTCAGGATGCGGCTTCCAAAGCCCTAAACAATGAAAAAGAAAGTAGTAGTGAAAGCGTTATACAGATGGACACAATGCATATTTTTTAGTAGCACTGACTGGTGGGCTAGTTAGTTTCACATTATTGCTAGGTTGATTTATCCCAAATTAAATTAATATAAAAGATTAGCTGATGAGGATGAGGATGGGCGCTATTTTATGCTATCCTTGATTGTCTTGTTCTTCCTTGTTTGTTTAGTTTGCACAAGATCAACAAGTGATGATACGTGCTAGGGCTGGCCATCGGCATCAAGCAGTCGCCAAAGGAGGCCTACAGCATGCATATCAGTCTCCCAAAAACAGTTTTCATAAACAACTTCACCTTTTTTGTGCTACAAAATTAACTTTCTGTCAAGAAAAAAAACACAAAAATAATCGAGCATGAAACATTACAAACTGCTGCCAGAGTGGAGCCTCAGTACTCAATGCTGACAGCTATACCTTTTTCCCTGCTTCCAAAACTTGTTTCTCGGCCTCAATATTACGACTTGTCACTACTGTCGAATTGAGGTATGATAAAATTAAGAAATTCGCAAGCATAGGACACAGGTAAGTGAAGATTACTGCCACGGGCCTTTGACCAGTACTGCACGTTAAATTAAGTTGATGATGGGGACTAATAACAATAATGATAATGAAACTGTGTGACCATAGCAAAGCCTAAAAAAAAATTATCAGCTTCACTCACAGAACCAGCTGTTGTGCATCTGTGAAAGAGCTGGTTTCCGCTCGAACTGCAAGTACTTTTTCTCTGATAATTGAAAAACTATGCATATTACGAGTTAAAGGTTCTTTAGGCAGTAACAGCTGCAGACATTTGGCTGAGCAGCCATGTAAAAAAACTCCGGGGAAATTTACCAAAATGTTCAAGTTTCTGTGCGATTAACAGCAATGCAAATATGTATGTATCTGTGTGGCAAAGTCAATTACCGGAAACACTCAAGGAGTGCTTCAAGTTGGGAAAATGAGCAAGCCCTATATGATGGTGTGTTTTTGCAAATTTTTTTAGTGAGAATCAATGGCTGGGGCAGAACAGTGGCTTTTCATTATTTAAGGGTGTAATGTAACCCAGGAATGCCCTGTACTTGCCTTTGTGTATTTTTCAAAAGAAGCCAGCCTGTTCTCATCATCCATCTCCTCAGAGGTCTCCCTCAGCCTCTTGAAGCGCAGCATAGACACATAGTCCCTTGCGTCCTTGTCTCCCGATTCTGAGAGGAGGCACACCAATGTATCATGAATGCTGGCACATGAAGTCAGCTGTAAACTTAATTTAGCATATTATCTTTTAAGCAACAAAATTGACTCTAAAGCTTGTTTGCCCCGCTAAAATTTTTGAAGAAATAATTGACATAGTTTCAATCACAATTTTAAGTGGGCTAGTTGACTTAGGAAACATTACGGCAGAAGAGTACAAACCACATCACTGTGGAACATGCAGGTTACAGCATTGTGCCCTGTTTTGCTCTCCCTGAGTTTGCACTGTTCAATCACCTTTGCCTGTTGAATGAAACTTCGAAATATGGAGGATATGAAAGATATTACACCAGAGAACTCTAATTGCTCGTACAAATAAGACCTTTCGTCGCACTTATGAGCAACCCAAAATTACAATTTCCTTGAAAATCCTGGCCACAAAATAGGACCTGTAAACACCGCGGTTTCATGTGACAGTAACCCACAGTAAACTGGTAAACCACAGCAGCACAGTTTTGCTCACCTAAGGAAAAGTTCAACAACTTAAAGAACAGAGTTTACTGTAGATAATCAATCCAGCTAGGGTGAGGGTAAACACAGCACCCAAACACGATCAGAGCCCCGCCGCGGTGGTCTAGTGGCTAAGGTGCTCAGCTGCTGACCCGCAGGTCGCGGGATCAAATCCCAACTGCGGCAGCTGCATTTCCTATGGAGGCGGAAATGCTGTAGGCCCGCGTGTTCAGATTTGGGTGCACGTTAAAGAACCCGAGGTGGTCGAAATTTCGGCAGCCCTCCACTACGGCGTCTCTCATAATCATATGGTGGTTTTGGGACGTTACACCCCACATATCAATCAATCAATCAAACACGATCAAAAATTATTACACTCGACATCATTGCAGATGGAAGGTGTGTAAAAGAGGGCCGGTAAAATAGTGTCTCTGAATAAAAACAATTTGCACAAGGCTGCTCTAGCAGATACATACCAGGGTTGTAGTAGATGCTCATGTCAACATCCCAGTCGTCGGACGTCTTGGCGTCAAAGTCGCCCTCCACTTCATCCCAGAACTGTGCATCGGTATAGAAAACCAGACCGGAACCGCCCTTCTCCCACTGAACTTCAAGTTCCTCTTCGAAAAGACGTTCACGCGTCCGTTCTTGGGATGTGACGTCGTTATGCAGAGCTTCGTGCCGGTCCCACTCCTCGCACTCTTCATCGTCCTGTAAAGACGAAAGAAATTTATTTAGGAACAATGGGTCTTGCTACACTACTGTTAGCAGAATTTTGCCAAAATCGTAATCACCTAATTCTTTTCTCTTTTTTTTTTTTTGTGAGACGCTGATGTTTTAAGATGTAACACATTGCCAGAAATGGATATTTTAATTAAAGGCTTGTTTTTGTTTTTTTTTAGTTAGACACAACGTCATTGAGAACTAACAGACAGTAATACGAAGGAAAGTATAGAGGATATTTCTAATAACTGTGGTATAAATGTGAAGATAAAGTGGAGAAAACCTGCAACCTTCAAAAGGCAGGTTCAGTTGAATGTTTGGTCCCTGTTACACCTTGCCAAGAGATGAAATAATAGCTTGACCAACAAAAGCCATTTTGTATTCCTCTCTCCATGTTGTGCAAGCTTCTTGAGCCTTTCATGAGCATAGGCGTGCACAGGGTTTCATTTCAGGGAAGGGAGGGGGGCAAAGGTTCGTAAAGTGCCCCCCCCCTTCCTATAATGTTAGTGTATTGGGCTGACTTTGCCCCCCTCCCCCCGAGTCACTTGCACCGCCCCTCCCTATTATGTTAATGCGTTAATGCGTGGAGTTGACTTTGCACCCCCTCTTTGGTGATCAGGGGAGTTGCCTTCCTCCCTGCCCCCATCGTGTGCATTCCTATGTTCATGAGTGTAACAGTGTTTACTCTTCACTGCATACGAATTAAGGCAATGCATTAATTTTAACTATGTTCAATGCCTGCAAATCCCGTGTACTGTGAACAAAAGAAGGGTCACTAATACCGTATCGTGAGGCATTAAAATCTAAGGAGGTCTAAACACGTCTTGACACTATTACAGAGTGCATATATGAATTGCGCAGAATTACTTGGAACAGTTTGTACGTCTTGCTACTTGCATCATAGTACTAGTTGCTGGTACTGTCAGAAACTCGGTTATATATTTTTGACGTTGATGACTACGACATTATGATTCAGTTTGGTAGTGCTTCCATGGTACCGAAGAAGTATTCGGAGACTCGTTCAAGGAAAAAGAAAAGGATATGCTTGCATGCTATATCCTCACCTTCCCCCAACCCCCCCCCCCCCCCCCCCCAAAAAAAATAAGAAAGAATATGCGCTGGCCAGTGTGCAGTTTCGGCAAGCCACTTGAGGGTGCAAGACTATTCCTAGCTCGTACCTAAATCATGTTTTACTGTTTATTCCAAACAAAAAGTAATGTTGTACGTGTTCACACTGTTAATTAATGCGCTTAGAAGTCAAGCAGTGATTTTTTTTTATCTTCAGAGCAGCAGGGAAGACGGGGAAGAGGGTCGTACGAAGAGCACTAACACTTTTATTCAGCGGCTGTTTAGGTAGCACAGATGGCTCCGAGTGCAAAGCAGCGGAATTCGCAACGTTTGTCACGAATTAGTTAAAGATATGTAGGTTCGATCGTAGAGCGTTCGCACCAGCACGATGCGACATCAGCTTATACAGACATACCACGAACCTAGACACCGAACAGCGACTACTTACACTCTCTTCCTGATTTTTGTGCTCTGGCTCGGCGTTCAACAAAGCGTAGTCACCGCTCTCCAGTGGGGTCGGGCAAGCACTGGATATTACGGAACCCGTCGCTGTCCGCACAAGAGGAGTTTCCGAGGTACGGGCACCACTTTTCACGTTCCTTTCACCACGCTCCGAACCCCGTACGGTGTTCCCGTAGTCGAGCGGCACACTTCCGTACAGGCGGCGCGATCTCGATCGTGGAAACACGAGTCCGAGCTTCTTGATCAGGTACGGCGGGAACTTGCAGGCTTGGATGAGTCCAAGAAACACTTTCGTCGGCGTACCCACGTTTCCATTTGGCATAGCGGGAGGCGGACGAAGCTCTATGAGCGTTTTCAAGTCCGCTTCGCTCAGCACAGCGCCTTCGTCGGCTCTGAGAGCCTTTGCTCCCCTCGCGTAAGATATTGTGAAGGAGTCTGCGGCTCGTTGTTTCGGACTCGAACCTTCCTGATGAAGCATCGGGTCCGGCAGCGTTTGTCCGTCACGTCCTATCCAGTGCTTCTTGTCGTACATGCGAAGTAGTTCGTCAACGCGATCGGTCAGGACGCGCACGACGCAGCAAGTCGTACTTTTACGCGTTGTTGCGGAGTTGTCGTCATCCTTACGAAGTCGATCGGACTGCGAAGTTGACGCCGACTTCTTTTGCTGAACTTCCGGACGGTGACGGAAGTGGAAGCAGTCAAATCCCGATGTCTCGATGAACTCGGTGAAGAAGTTGCGGAGGTCTGCCGAGCGATACAATGCCGGAATGTTGTTAACGATCACGTAAGAGACGTTTCTCTTCCGATCGCCTGCTGTTTCGTCGTTGCTCACAGCTGCCATGTTTGTCGCTGGTAACGCGCATAGCGTCCCCTTGCGGATGTTCTCGGTAACTATTTCGTGACGAAAATCTCAATGCAGCTAAAAATAGGCAGTCATGACGTCACTAAAACCTGCAGTATGTTCGTGTTTCGTTTTTGTGCGGCTGTTGCATTCAGAAATAATCTACGGTAACGTTGGTGAATGGTTGCAGCTGTTTCAAGGCACGTTCAATGTGTAACCAAGTCGAATGGAGAAAGTCTTCAGATTCGGAGACCCTGACAATACTTTATTGGAAATGAATAAACGTGAAGTAAGTCCGTTTGACTCTCGGCAACCACCGCATCAATTACGATGAGTTTGTTGCACTTTATAAGAAAAAAAAGTAATGTATGATTACTATACAGAGCAGATATATTGTGGATATTTTTTTGTACAAAAGGTGTTGGAGAAACAATAACAATAGCAATGATAAAACAATAACATTGTTTACAGTTCTAACTCTGCAAAGTCAACGAAATCGCAATTCTGTAACCTGTTGATTATGCAACGTGGTTAAGCCAGCAGACAAACGAGCGACTGTCCTACCTGTGGCAAGTCGATTTTTCATCCATTTCAATCCCCCCCCCCCCCTTTTCTGCACTACATGTTCTGTACGTTTGTTTCATAAGCTTATATGGCTAACAAATAAATGAGCCTTCTATTAAGCTCCCCTTTTTTTTCGTTGATAATATACTTTATTCACAGCGATAGCCCGCAGTAAAAATAAGTTGGTAGGAGGGGACCGGGAATGGGGAGCACAATACCAGCACCACAGCTATAGTGCCTCGAGTAAGTATATTCTAGGCACTATATCGCAGCTCAAGGAGCACACTACCTGCTCGATTTTCTTTTCATGTCCATCGGTGGTGCGAGTCACACACACACACAAAAAGAAAAAAAAAAGAAAGCTTCGCATTAGTGGTGCCAAGCCTGGAGCAAGTGCGACGCTGGACGCCCTATTTGTCATCGGTTTTCTAATTCTATCCTCCTCTCTTTCTTCCTGTTTCTCTTATTTTTATGATTTTTAGTCTTTTTTCTCTCTTATTTCTACTTAATTCTTCCTCTCTATATATATATTTCTTTCTTTTTTTCTTGATCATTCTAGTTTTCTTTCTTTTTTCTTGGTCCTTCTAGTTTTCTTCCTTTTTTTCTTTTCTGTCTATCTCTAGCTGGCTCAATTGCTTCCTTTTTTATTTCCATTTCTGTACGTGGCTTTGTCTACTTTACGCCAAGCAATGACAGCGTACACGCCAGCCCTGACCTCTATAATGTTGCACAATCATCATCAAGGCACTCGAAGAACGAGAGGAAGAAGACTTCTCTTTGACGCGCGCTCAACATGCTACAGACGCGTTACCTCCCTAAATTTTTACGTGCATAGAACAGGTCAAGCGATTTCCCCCTCTGTGTCTCTTCTGTAATGAGGAGGGAACCATTAGTCATACATTTTCCATCTTGTCACCGGTTCACGTCATAGAGGAAAATATTCGTAGTACTACCTGATACAAATCTGGGTCTTGAAATATCAAAATTAGGTGTTCTTTCATTCGGCGCCTCTTCTCTGGGCTACAGTCACGGCGATGTTTTTTTCGCTATTAAGGAATTCATCAATCAGTCCAAAAGAATATCTAGCTAAATTCTTCATTTTTCAAACAAAATATCTCGTTTAAGTTCGTACTTAAAATCTCTATATTAGTCAATTCTAGCTTACATTAATAGTATAACACTGAAAAAATTCACCTACTACTCGGCCAATCCAATGCATTGGGTATGAGTAGAAGACTCGGAACAAGAAGACGCTACGCTACATATGACGATTTCACTGGAGGTATTGACCGCGTTTATGACAGCACACAGTGACAGCATATGCAGCCGGGACCCCTAAAGTGCCTCAGGGACTTGAAAAATTACACGATGATCAGCTTACTGTGCATTCTCAACACACACACACACACACACACACACACACACACACACACACACACACACACACACACACACACGCACGCACGCACACGCACACGCACACGCACACACACACACACACACACACACACACACACACACACAAAAAGGCACGCCAGGCCAGCCCGAAAGGCGGAGCACGGTCACAGCGATAGCTAGAAGAGCGGTCTTTCATAGCTTTTTTTCTAAACACTCATTGGGTATCTGCTGCAAGCACACTTGCTTGATACCCATTACGGCATTAATAATATATATTTCTGGGGATTAGACAAGCATTCGCTATGCTATTTTTCGTCATTCTTCTGAGAAGCGTTGTGTCCGCGAAACACTCGCAAGGAATTTTGTGCCAATCGTTCATGCAGTGGCTGACGACGATGAGAAATTATGCCTGAGGTGGGTATGCGCCACACTTAGTAGGTGATCAAAAACAAGCTTTTGTAATGAGTTTGAGCATAGAATGATCTTCTCGTTACGCTATTCGCATTGTGTGACGCCTCGTTGTTCTTTTGCTGTTCTAAAATGCTTTGTTACTAATATAACCGCGATTCCTTTCCCGACATCAAGCCTGCCTAAGCCAAGTTTGCGAACAAGTCCCAAGCACCAGCGTGGCTCAGTGGTGGAATACTGGGCTGGGACGCAGCGGACCCGGGCTCGAGCCCCACTGTGTCCTTGGTACTTATTTCGCGATAGTGGTTACGGACACCGGCGGCGGCAGCGGCGGCGGACAACTATATATTGTTACGGGGAGAAGGCGTCTGAAAAATGCCTTTACTTTCGGTAAACAGGCAGGCATACAATATGGAGCCCGGTCTGCACGAGCTCGCCCTAAACATCGTCCTCTTTTCTACAATGTTCATTTGTGGCGCCCCGTAGCATCACCCCCGGCGGCGAAGGCACCGTCTCGGTGCCTGGTTGGTCTGAGTAATATCGTTTCAGGCGAGTGACGTGAACAACGTCAGAACACGATCGCGCGCTGGTGGCGTTAAGAGGTTCAATTTCATATGTCACGTCGGTGACTTGGCGCACCACACGGTACGGACCCGAGTACGGTGAAGTCAGTTTTTCGCACAGGCCAACTCGCCGCGACGGTGTCCAGAGAAGGACTGTGTCACCTTGACTGAAGTGGACATCACGATGGCACGCGTTGTAGACCTGTCGTTGTCGTTCCTGGGAATCGCTCAGACGCTGGCGAGCAATCTCACGTGCCTCTAGAGCTCTAGAAATCACATCGCGGGCATATTCTGACGTGTGGCCAACGGCAGGAAGGAGCGTGTCGAAAGGCAACGTAGGTTCTCGTCCGTACAGGAGGAAAAATGGCGAGAAACCTGCAGTGTCATGCCGAGACGTATTATAGGCAAATGTTACAAATGGAAGGGCGGTGTCCCAGTCACGATGGTCGGAAGAAACATACATGGCGAGCATGTCCGTGATGGTTCTATTCAGCCGCTCCGTGAGCCCGTTGGTTTGAGGATGATACGCCGTTGTGAACTTGTGCTTTGTAGCGCAAGAGTGCAATATGTCTTGGATAACTTGTGATAAAAAGTAGCGACCCCGATCGGTAAGCAGTTGCCGAGGAGCGCCGTGGTGTAATATGACGTCTTCTAGAAGAAAGTCAGCGACGTCGGTCCCACAACTGGTAGGAAGGGCCCGTGTGATGGCATACCGAGTGGTGTAATCCGTGGCGACTGCTATCCACTTGTTTCCGCTGGCCGATAAAGGAAACGGTCCTAGTAAGTCAACACCTATCCTATAAAATGGTTCGGATGGGATCTGAATGGGTTGAAGGTGTCCCGCTTTAAGTGTTGCTGGTTTTTTGCGGTGTTGACAGGATTTGCATGAGGCGACGTAACGGCAGACGGATCGGTAAATACCGGGCCAAAAGAAGCGACGTCGAACGCGGTCATAAGTTCTTGAAACTCCCAGGTGACCAGCTGTCGGAATATCATGCAGCTGTGCAAGGACAGTCTGACGCATATGTTGTGGTATGACCAACAGCAGCTCAGGTCCGTCAGGATGCATGCTGTAGCGATATAAGACGCCATCTTGGAGCAGGAACATACGGAGAGACGGAGGAGTTGTGGGACCACTAAGCCGAAAGATTATATCTCTGAGGTGAGGATCACGGCGTTGCTGATCTCCGATGTTGCTAAACGCGGAAAGTGCCAAAACGCAAGTAGCGTCATCGCTCTCAGAAAAGTCTGCTGGGTCTACTGGATGACGCGACAAGCAATCAGCATCCTCATGGTGGCGACCTGATTTGTAGACAACCGTGTAGGAATATTCCTGTAGCCGTAGAGCCCACCGGCCGAGACGTCCACAAGGATCTTTTAAGGACGACAACCAGCATAAGGCGTGGTGATCAGTGACAACCGTGAACGGGCGTCCATACAAATACGGCCGAAATTTAGCCACTGCCCAGACGAGTGCGAGGCATTCGCGTTCTGTGATGGAGTAATTTCGCTCTGCTGGCGATAAAAGACGGCTAGCGTATGCAATAACGCGCTCGCAGCCATGCTGTCGTTGTGCCAAAACGGCTCCGATTCCGTGGCCGCTGGCGTCGGTACGCACTTCCGTTGGAGCGCATATATCAAAGTGGCCGAGAATCGGTGGCGTCGTAAGTCTACTCGTCAGTTCAACGAATGCTCTGGTTTGTTCAGGTCCCCACACAAAAGTCACATTTTTTTTTAGTAGTTCCGTGAGCGGTCGTGCGACGTCAGCAAAATTCCGCACAAATCTACGAAAGTAAGAACAAAGGCCCACAAAGCTTCGAACATCGTTCGCAGAGGTCGGCACAGGGAAATCTTTGACGGCACGGATTTTCTCAGGATCGGGACGAACACCAGAAGAATCGACAAGGTGTCCAAGGACAGTGAGCTGCCGGCGGCCGAAGTGACATTTGGACGAGTTTAGTTGGAGCCCTGCTTTGCGGAAAACCGAAAGAATTGTTGAGAGACGCTCGAGGTGAGTTTCGAAAGTTGGCGAAAAAACAATGACGTCATCAAGGTAACATAAGCAGATTGAC